AGTAGCCACACTAGCTTGCCATAGGAACCAGGCGGTAGTGGTGCACGCCTTTAATCCCAGCCCTAGAGAGGAATATAAAACAGGAGAAGACAGCTCTCAGACATAGTCCCATTCTGAGGATTCATGGAGGCAGGATCGCCATTTTGGACTGAGGTAGAGGTAAGAGCCAGTGGCTGGCTGTTTTGCTTTTCTGACCTTCAGGTTGAATCCCAGTTTCTGTTTCTGGATTTTTATTAATCGTGCCACACATGTGCAGTTAAAATAACACTGTGAAAAGTAACTATGTCGTGTTACCCAGATTAAGTAGCTTATAGCTATGCCTCCACAGTGTTTCTCTTTGAACTCATGCCCCTTTCCTTCCCAAGGACGCTACCATCTTGTATTTTTAGGTGTTTCTTTTTACATTTCTTAATGCATTTCATTTTTTCCTAGTGCACTTCTGAATAATACACTTGTGTAACTTTGTATTTGAATTTTGTACAAGGGACACATTTTTTTTATCTCCCCCCCCCCCGTTTATTTACTATTGTGTGGGTGGGCATGAATAAGTGACATCATACATGTGGAGGCAAGAGGACAATTTGTGCAAGTTGGTTCTCTCTGCCCTGTGGGAATAGGGTTTGCCCTTTGCTGGCCCAGTTGTCTCTGTTGTACATCAAGGCTCACACAGTGTGTGGAATGCTCATTGCTGTGCTTCATTTTGTGATGTTACCTAAGCAGGGCCGCCGGCTTTTTCCATTTTCCCACTTTAATCAGTTAAGTTACTATGCTTTTTCTTTGGAGTCTCCTGTCACAAGGGTGTGAAACTTCTCAATGTGCGGCGCTCAGTTAGAGCACTCTGCACGAATCCAACATGATTAGGAAATCCTAACCTCTCTCTACTGGACTCTTCTCACACTTCACACCCTACTTGTCTGTTCAGCCCTACCTGTCCTGCTGGTTTTGTTGCTATGAAATGATGTCATGTTCCTAAGTTTGCATTTCCTTATTTGCCAAGAAAGTGAACATCTCTTCATATGTTTATAGTCAGTTTGTGTTTTTTCAAATGTAAAATGCCTGCTTGTATCTTTTGATTATTTTTGATATTTTTTTCCTTCTTACACATTTTCATGGATTTTTTATTTTGTTTTGTTTTTCGAGACAGGATTTCTCATGTATCTCTGGCTGTCCCGGAAGACCGGGCTGGCCTTGAACTCACAGATCTGCCTGCCTCTGCCTCCCGAGTGCAGGGATTAAAGGCTTGCATCACCCCTGCTAGGCACTCAATTATTTCAGATTTATGATTGTTTTGTTTCAAACTAAGATTTTGTTGTTCAGATTGGCTTCGAAGTCATGATCCTCTAATGATGTTCCTGTCTTTCAAGCGCTGAGATTACAGCATGTGATACCATGCAGGACTTTTTGGGAAAGTGGGGAAGTGGGGGCCGTGCTGCAGCTCATACATGCTAAGTGAGCTGTACGCCATCTTGTTCTTTCCATATGTTTGGATTGCTGAATTATCTTACTACTTTTTTCTCCCTCCAAGCTTAGACTTTTGGTGCTTGCTTGACAGACCTTCCTCTATTTTATACAAACATTCTCCCTCTGTATGGGAGGACATGAGATAGGGAAACTGCTTCCCAGGCAGCCAGGGTCTGGGTTCTCATGAGTGGTAACTGTTGACCTCTCCCATGCCCCTCCCCTGGGGAGCCTGTAGAGTCTTGCGCCTTCATCCCTAATCATAGTGCTCTGCCCTTACTCCTGCTGTGTTAGGAGTAGCCCAGAATGCCTTGATAGTTGTGATTGAATTGACTTTGAAGCATTGGTTTCTTTGTGGAATGGAAGCATCAAAACTTTGGAGTGGCTGTTTGTAGTAATTAATATCCCTTACTGAATTTTATAGCTCTCTCAGTAGAAATCTTACCCATCTTTTACAGGCTAGATTTGTGCTTAGGGATGTGGACAAGAGATTTAGGTGTTTTGTTTCTTTGTTCGAAACAAGACTTTATTCTGTAGTCTAGCCTAACCTCCTGTCTCTTCCCCCCAGCACTACTGAGGTTACCTGAGCTTGTAGCCATACCAGACTTTCTACCTAGGTACCTGAGATTTGAACTCAGATTCTTATAGTGTGCAGCAAGCACCTTTTTTACTGAGCCATCTCTTCAACCCTCAGTTTAATTTTTTAAGTTACCGATTTAATTTTGAAAACATATCTCTATAAAAAGTATCAAACTTATTCCAACATTCAGTTGTATTTTTTTATATTAAGATTATTTGACAATTACTATAACTTAAATTCATTACCAGAGGCGTAGAAAACATTAATAAATGATTAAATACTATATTGAGTAAAGTTACTGGAGCATGCATGTAGAAAAGCCATGTCTAGCACTGAAGTCTGTTTACCAGTGGAGAAGCTCTGCACTTACGCCGTTTTATCAGTTCTCAGTTACACACCATAGAGTTGTCCCAAGTTTAAACCTTTATCAGTTCCAGAGTGTAACTTAATAAATACGAAATTTTAATTTTCACTTTGAACCTAGATGAGTAAAAAGTACAGGGCCCCATAAGATAATGAACGCCAGCTCACTACCTGTCAGTAGATAGCAATGCATGGCTATTTCCAGCCCCAGAAGTTACTCAAGATTGAGTCAGAACATGGTTCTTTCATAGGGTTAGATTTAACTTAATAATACCATCACAAATTCAGTGGACCCTTAGCGAGTCCTTCAGATGATTTTCCTCTATGTGCAGAACCTGTTCATTCCTCAGTCCTTTCCAGTTTAGCTCTTCCTTCTTTTTTGAACAGGATCCTATCACGTCGTCCAGACGGACCTAGGACTCCCACCACCTACTCAGTTCTGGCCTTTCTTTTTAAAATCCAGTTTTACTAAGGTATTTGCTTATACTTCTTTTCTTGGCTAATGTTGCTAGAGAGCCCTCAGTCCCCACAACCCAGATGTGAGAGGATGGAATGAGAGAGCAGTAGACAGAGCTCCGTGAGTATGTCAGCCATTAGTCATGGGCGTAGCCACCTCCAGGCTACTTGTAGGGTCAGGCATGGCTGTGCCAGGAGTCTATTGCGTACCAGCTGTTGGGAGAGTTAAGTTCTGCTCTAAACTGTCTTAGCACATAGTTTCAAGTACCAAGTACTGGTAGCATTTGGTGTGTGCTGTTCATTTTCTGTCTTCTGGTCATTGTTTTCTATCTTGAAACTTAACTTTTTTGCTTTTTTTATTTTTTATTTTTTTTTAAATTTCAACTACCTATGCTTTAGCCTGATTCAGCCAGTGATTTTATGGAGTCTGTGTATTTTGTGGTCTCTGCACTGACACTGCTTACAGTTAGCCTCTGTGTAGTGAGCAGTTACAGAATCACATTCCTTACTCCAGTCTGCTCTTCCTTGCTGCCTTTTTTTTAAATTGATGTTTTTTTTAAATATTTATTTATTATGTATACACTATTCTGTCTGCGTGTATGCCCGCAGGCCAGAAGAGGGCACCAGACCCCATTACAGATGGTTGTGAGCCACCATGTGGTTGCTGGGAATTGAACTCAGGACCTTTGGAAGAGCAGGCAATGCTCTTAACCTCTGAGCCATCTCTTCACCCCCCTTGCTGCCTTTCTTCCTGTTTAAACATTCCTGTGCATATGTGTGCAGAGGCCACAAGTGTTAAATGCCCCCTCTCCTTTTTTGTATCACTCTCTACCTATTCTTTTGAGGCAGGATATTTACTTGAACCTGGAGTTCATGTTTTCTCAGCTAGACTGGAAGCCACCGAGTCCCTGTGATTCTCCTATCTCTGAGCCTCTTAGAGCTGGGTTTCTGATAGATTGCCAGGACACCTGGGTTGTTATGTGGGTGCTGGGACCTGAACTCCAGGCCTCATGATTGCCCACGTACTCTTAACTGCTGAGCCATCTCTCTAGCATGTCCTGTTTAATTTCTGTACTTTCTAAGTTGTTTACTTCTCACGGGCCCTTGGCCCGGCTGTGACCTGCTGTAGCACTTGCATGTCATGGGTATGTGTGCTCCCAGCTTGCTGCTGTGCAGTGTGCAGCTTCTCTACTTGAGACCACTTGTCTTTGAATCCTGACCTGGAGCATGTCAGCTGAGCTTTGCCCTGACACAGATGTGGATATATGTTGGCGTGGGATGGGGGGAGGTGCTTCTGTTTGACCAGAGGGTGATATCGGCTATGTTCTGTCTGGTGTCCCCACAGGCATGGATGGCAACTGTGCTCTCCTTTGTACTTTTCTCCTTAATTTGAGGCACCCATGTTCATGTCAGCAGACCCATGGACGCTTGGAAAGTCTCTGTCACTCACAGCTGGCCTGCCCTTGGATTAAGGGTGCTCTGGCTGGTACCTTTCCCGTGTAAGCTAAGATCCATCAGATTACTGTGATCTGGCTACTACTTAGGGGACAGCATGGGAAGCCCTTGTAGCCAGCAGCGAAAGCTGGCCTACCTGCTACCTATCCTGAACTACTGAGGTGCTAAGCCTCTGTCTTGTTTGTTTTTGTTTTGTTTTTATTTTATTTTATTTTTTGAGACAGCATCTCTTTACATAGCTCTGGCTCTCCTAGAACTCATTATGTAGACCAGGCTGGCCTCAGACTCAGAGATCCTCCCGTTCTGTCTCCTGAGTGCTAGAATCAAAGTTGTGAGCCTCCGCACCTAGCTCGCCTCCATTTTTTTAAGTGAAACATGTAAGAAGGATCTTTGTGTGGTGACTAATTTTGCTGTGAATGACTATGTACAGGGTTTTTGTTTTGAATGATTATTTGTTAAATGATTCTGAGTCTGCCCATTCATTTTTCTAGTATCAGGAACAAGTAGAAATTCTTTACATGTGCGTATTTGGTAAGTAATAAATGAAGGAAAAGCCAGTACTTCACCGTCAGTTACCCTCGTGTTCCTCATTTGCCGTGTTTTGTCAAATGTAATATAAACTTGTGACATCTTCTGCAGTCCCCTGCTGTAACTGAGTAGGTTGATCAGAGCTTTCCCTTCTCGACAGCTGAAAGGCCAGATCTTCTCGCTGAGTCGGGAGCTCGAAGAGTGCCGCACCGAGCTGGAGAGGCTGCAGCAGCGGCGGGAGCGGGAGAACCAGGAGGGCGCCACTCTCATCTGCATGCTCAGGGCCGATGCAGACCTGGCTCAGAGCGAAGGGTGCGTGCTTCCCTATCACATGGCTGCATTAGGTAGCGGCAGCATCGCTGCATTTCCCAGTCTGCTGCACTTGCTGTGGGGGGGTCTGGACATACTGACATCTGGGTTTAGAGATACCACCGTGTTGTTGTCAAGTCTTAAAGACTTGACATTAATTACCTGCATACCTGACACATTGCCAGCTCTTCACATCACCAAACAGTAGCAAAATCCATTGTTTTATAGAAGTTTTGTTCCCTGTAACCAACTGCTGTACCTCCCCCACCAAAAAAAAAAATACTAGTTTCCTTGTGGAAGCCTCTCCTGTGTTAGCTTAGTGTCAGGGTCAGGGATGGTGGTCTTTGGGATATTGTCTTATGGCTTTGGACCCTACCTGGTATTTGTAGATGGGTGGTTAGCATTTTGCAAAGGGCCTGGAGGATTCCCAGGGCCAAGAGCAGCCAAAGGATGATGGTTGTTCTCTGTCTTAGGAAAGTACTCCGCGATGCTCTGAAGAGACTGCTTGATTTGTTTGGAGAAACACTGAAGGCCGCTGTCACCCTAAAGAGCCGAATTAGTGAACGTGCGGGGCTCCTCCTGGACCATGTGGATGCTGCAGATACAAGTGATGCCCGGTTAGCAGGTACATGCCAAAGATGGTTGTCTGTTAGGACCGTGTGTCCTGGGAAAGTGTCCGAGAATGTCCCCCAGGAGCTGTGTTCGCTATCAGTTCCCGTACTCCGGGAACACAAGGGCCAGGCTTAGGTAAAGGGTTGGTTCTCAGGGTTGGTTGCTTATTTGCTAAGAAGGTGGGTCATCCACCACCTCCCCTAAATTCTTCAGCTGGATGGTGAACTCACAGGATGACGGTGTGTATGTCTGTCTGTCTATCTTGCAGCTGCAGCCCTTGGTGACATGTGGTCTGACGAGGGTCTACTTGAGATAGACAGGACTCTGCCTGAAGGGGCGGAGACGTCTTCAGTGTCAGAAATTAGCAGTCATGTGTGTGAAAGCTTTTTTATGAGCCCCGAAAACACACTGGAGTGTGAGCAGCCCATTAGGAAAGTCTACCAGAGCCTCAGCTCGGCTGTGGATGGCCTCCTGGAAATGGCCCTGGACTCTACTAAACAGGTGAGGCCCACGACCATAACAGAGGCCAGTGGAGGAGCTGGGCGGATGTTATGTTACCACCGTCACTGCCAGGTTACCGATTCTTATCCCAACCTGCAGGCTACAAAGGGTATCTTCATTTCTCAAGTAGCTCCGAATCCATAGGGCGCCCAGAACCCCTTCTTCCACTAGGTGTTTAGAGGCAGAAACCTGACTTTTTCTGGGTGCTATTCGCTTTCCTTTGTTGATTTTAATCTTTGTTACTACTGATAGTGCTCTCATCCGTGCTTCTTTAGTCGATGTGGTTCAGTTGATAAAGCCCGGGTTAATCCTTAGTGCTATATAAACAGGGCTTGTCATGCCTGAAATCCTAGCACTTAGAAGGTGGACACAAGGATTAGGAATTCAAAGTCATCTCTTGTTTACCAGAGTTTGAAACCCAACCTAGGCTATATGAGATCCTGTCTCAAAAGCAACACCAGGGCCAGGAGGAGCAGCACATACTTTTAATCCCAGCACTTGGGAGGCCAGCCTGGTTTAATAGCAAGTTCTAGGCCAGACACTGTCCTTTAAAAACAAAAACAAAAATATTGAAACCTGCAAATCCGCTTTTTTTGCTCTACTGATTACTAATGCTTTCTATTTGAAGATCACACTAAGAAATGGACTTCTTAATTAATTTCTTAGAACATTTTTGGTAATTGGAAAAGATATTAACTGGAAATATGAGCCGGGTGGTGGTGGCGCACGCCTTTAATCCCAGCACTCGGGAGGCAGAGACAGGCAGATCTCTGTGAGTTTGAGGCCAGCCTGATCTACAGAGTGAGTTTGAGGACAGCCAGAACTGTTAACACATAGAAACCCTATCTTGAAAAATGAAAGAGAGAGAGAGAGAGAGAGAGAGAGAGAGAGAGAGAGAGAGAGAAATCTGAAGATAAGGAAAGCAATAAATGAGATTCTTTTTCTGAAGTTGGCGGTTGACAAAATCAATGTGAAACATTGCTGTAGTGTGAGTGCCCCTCCTGGGTGTTGGAGACTAGAGTTTCTGATTCTTCCCACTAAATCTTAAGCCCAGTTCTTTAGTGGGACCTACTGTCCTCTCTCAGGAACCAACATGTCTAGCATCTCACTTATAATCAGGTGCTTTGGCTGGTCTCCATGTATATCTGTAAGGAAGTTCCCCATTCAGAGATCATCCACAGGACCAACCTTTGCAGCAGGAGCATCCTAGCAAGCACCGCTGTTTCATTAGCTCTTGCTTTGTTAGAGTTCCAGGGCAGCCAGAGCTACACAGAGAGACCCTGTCTTGAAAAACAAAACAAACGGAAAAGCATTGCCTTGTGGAGGATGTGTCTTTGGGGAAGGATCTGGGGAGACATTAGAGGGCCTATCACACCCGTCATGGGAACAGCTTTGTGGGAGGTTTCAGGAGCTCTCTAAAGCTGATGCAAGGTTGGTAGCAGAAGGCTGTCAGTTGGATTGCAGTCAGACAGACCTCTTGGCAGAACCACGTTTGACCTTGGCTGCAGGAAGGGGCAGAACCAGGCGGAAGCAGTCTGTTGGAGGTTGGGAGGATAGAAACATTAGAAGTGGCCTCAGGACCATTTTCACAGAAGAAACAAAAGACCGTAGAGGCCTGTGGACATCTTGAGCCCCAAGGAAGGCACAGGTTGTGCTATTAGTGAGGCGCTAAGGGAGGCCTGCACCTAGACACACTCTTGTGTGCTGGGAGCAGTGGGGTGTGGGTGTTTTTGTGTTTAGAGGCCCAGTCCTGTAGGTGGCCTGGTTCTAGAGATACAAATGCTGGGAAGGGTGTGTGGTAAAGGAGGCTAACGAGGGGTTGCTAGCCACATGGAGACAGCTCTGTTGTCATGGCACTGTCTCAGCCCTAGCTCTGCTGCCGGAGACCTGGGGTCTTGGTCCCTTCCTCCTTCTCTTCATACCCTCTGTATTTTTTACATGGAGTTGTGGTTTTTCAAATGTATTTCAACAGCTGGAGGAAGCACGCCAGCTCCATCGTTGTGTTGAGAAAGAGTTCCGTCATAGGAATGAGGAGATGGCGCAGGCTGTGCAGAAGCAGCAGGAGCTGCTGGAACGCCTGAAGCAGGAGAGTGCGGCCAAGGATGGGCTGACCCTGGAGTTGCACACTGCAGAGGGTGAGTGGCGTACTGTGTGAGCAGACTGAAGCATAGAAGTAGGCATGTCTGTCCCATAGGAAACATGGGAAGCAGGGTCTTTAACAGCAAAATCTTGTCAGGGTAAAATTCTGGCTTTGTCCCTCAGTAGAAGTTTTACTTGGTTTATTTATCATTGGCTTGGGGATCCCATGTTGGTGATAGGTCTGTTTGTGTCTGTGCTACAGAGGACCCTGGAATGCCAGCTGTCACTTGGCACCGGGCTTTCCTCTTCTGTGCATCCGTGTCTCTCGAACTCTTGATCTTCCTGCCTCTGCCTCCTTCAGCAATTCCTACCAGTCTGCACTACCACACCTGGCACATCTGTGTCTCTCAGCCATCAGATGGTCCCAGCTTTGCTCGTGGCCATCCTGTCACAGAGCATTTTGGGATCTTTGCACAGGGGAAAAGTGCAGTTCTCTCCAGGGCTTTGCTTGTCTGGAGACACAGCCCCCTTCACAAGTGACCTGTGCTGACCTTCTAGTACTCGGGCCGCATCAGTGTTTTGTCCAGAGCCCCAGCAGCCTCTCATCCTTCCCCGTGAAACCTATCTCTGCGCTTGGCCTGTCTCTTAGGGCTCCTTGAAGGACTCAAGGTGGAGAAAGCAGATCTGCAAGAGACCCTGGGGAGGAAGGAGGAGTCGGAACAGCAGCTGGTCCTGGAGCTGGAGAACCTGCAGAATCAGCTGCAGCAAGCAGCCCAGGAGCTGGCCACGCTGAGGGAAGAAAACTCCGTCCTGTGGAGCCAGAAGGAAACTTTCACTAATGAAGCAAAAGAAAGAGAAGCTGGTGAGAGCTGGTGATGGTGGAGGCCTGAGTGGAACGGGGGGGGGGGGGGGGTGCCGCAGGTGGTGCTGATCCCAGTGTGCACGTAAACTTGGTCTTTGAGGAGGTGGAAATACGAAAAGCAAGGAGGCTTGTCTGTGCGAGTCCATGGTTGGGTGGGCTGCTTTCTGGGAAGTGCAGGCCACAGGAAGGACAGCTGGCTAGGGTGTAGCATCCAGCTGCTCTGCAGTGATTCTGAGGGAGAGGGCCTTATGGACTGACATTGCTAATGAGCTGTGCCTCTAGGGAAGGAAATGCCCTTAGGGCAGCAGGTTAATGTCTCAGGCTCTGGTAACTGAACTGGCTGAAGATAAGCATCTGGTATTGGTCCTGTGTGTTAATTGACTGGGAGCCACTCTAGCAGAGCTGCCGAGGTTTCAGACTTGACTACTTAGCCCCCTTGGCTTTAGGCCTGTAGAAAGGCAGCTTGTCATGGTGGAAATGTGGAAATATATAACAGGGAAGCTACCCATCTCACTGCAGTTGGGGAGGAAGGAGCGAGCTCTCACCCCAAACCCTTAGGCTGTGACTCTACCACCAGTGAGGTCAGAACCTCACAACGGAGCCCAGAGGCCCCGACTCAGAACACAACTGTATTTGGGACCCTGCCTTCTAACATAGGAGCTTTTAAGGAAATGTCCAAGATTCAAACTACCATATGTTTTCAAAATGAGATCTTTACTTTCTGGAGGCACTGTGTTGCCGAGGCTAGTCTTTTAGCCAGCCTCCTTTCTCCGTGTCGTGAGTGCTGGGATTGCGGCAAGCCACCATGTCCAGCCAGTTTTTATGTATATTTTAGCTGTGTTTAAAATGAAAGTGGATAAACAAGAAACACACACTGCTGCATTAGCAGGTTGTTTCCCACTGGTTAGAAACACTTCCAGTTCGTGAGTGCCCTGCCCTCTGGTTTTTTCCTGTATTTCTCCCCCATGTCTGTATTTTCATTTCCCTTCTCTGGGACATAGCTGAGCAAACATGACTCTTGGGCCATGCCCTCCTTGACACGGGAGGTCACAGGTTTTCAGAAACCCCGGTGCTTCCCTCTGTCCCCACTGTGTGTGTGGTGTGTGTGTGTGTGTGTGTGTGTGTGTTCCCTACTCCTAGCTCATTCAGTTAAATGTCCTACTTTCTGTTAAGGCCTCTTTTCTATACTGGAACATTTTTCAAGTGCTGGCCCTTTCTTGTGCATACCCTGTGCCTCTGAATCCTATCCCTGGACACCTTGTATTTCTTTACCATGATGTAGCAGGTAGAGTCTCAGCCCTCATTAACTGGTTTGCAGCCTACTGATGTAGCCCGCATGCCTATTCGGAGCTTCTTTGGGAATCTTTTGAGGCTGACAACTCCCCATCCCCTACTTTTTTGTCTCCCGCAATCATCACATCGTGCAGCACTGTCCGGGCAGCACTATGGTGGCAGCACCCAGACGTCTGTTGGGCCTGTCCAGGAGCATGTCTTTGGCTGACTGGTCTCAGAAAATCGCTTCTCGTTGGACTCTGTTGCTGCAGGCTCTTGTAACTTCTCTGTGGTCGGCTGGGAGTCACTTGGAATTGTTTCCTCAGCCTTGGTTTTCACTCTTGTGTCTTTACCCTTCCACCCTGGGGCTATTCCGAATTGCTCATATCCCCTCAGCCTCTTTCTCGGAGCCAACACTGCAGCTGTGGCTTCCTTGGCCACAGGCTTCCTGGGACCTCAAGCCACATGGGGTCCTGCAAATGTGGAACAACTTCCCAGGAACCTTGAGAACTCCATCCTGCCTCACTTTTCTTGGGTGTTTCTTCATTTCTTTAGGTGTTTGTCGTGGCTACTTTTAGGGTAGTGTCGTCTTTATTGTCTATTTTCCTAGTTTCCTCTAAAATGAACTCCTGCCCCCAGGCTGGACTCTGTTCACTTGGGGGCAGCCAGTGGTGTCCCAGATGTGCAGGCCTCAGTGCCGCTGGCTGGTTGGTCCGTGCTCTTTCCTTTCCTGTGATGGTTTGTTTCCTGTTGTAGGCACTCCTGACTCTTCAGCACACAAGGACGCAGGTTTGTAAAGAGTGTGCCCTCTGCATGATCTCTGTATGTTTGCATCAGATTTTTCCAATTACTGACTAAGAGGAAAAATGCTTCAGAGCTTTTCTGGCAAAATATTGAATGATATTATAGTCTTTAATAATCATTCATTAAAAATGGCAGCATTGTCCCAGATATTGGGGAACATTTTAAGGTGTGTTGCTTTTGTTTATGCTGCATTTGTTTAACTCTGTGAAGCTGTGATTCTTTGCCTGTCTAAAACACCTGATGGTCTTAAAGAGCTGAACAGCCAATAGCGAGGCAGGGCTGGCAGGCAGAGAGAATAAGTAGGAGAAACGGGGAAGGGGAGGAGGACATCAGGGCCAGCCACCCAAGTGGCCATAGTGTAAGAGTGAAACCAAGATACCAAAGAAAGAAAGATAAAAACCCAGAGGCAATAGAATAGTTGGGATAATTCAAGTTAAGAAAAGCTGGCAAGAAACAAGCCAAGCTAATGCCAGGCATTCATAACTAAGAATAAGCCTCCATGTGTGATTTATTTAGGAGCTGGGTGGTGGGCCCCACTAAACACAAAGTAAAACCTCGCCCAACACAGTGGTATTTACTTTTTCTCTAATGACTTCTGCAATTTTAAGTCCTATTTGTGCTGTTTTGCAAGAATTGATGCTTTGTGACCATTATGGTGTTTGTTGGGTCAGGTCCCTGTGCACAGGGCTCCTGGCAGGTGACGGGAGGGTCTGGGCCCACTTGTGGCTTTATGCCTTGTCTGCCTTCTATCAGGTCCTCATCTCCACAGCCCCTGTAAGCCACGCCCCCTTCCCTCCGGCCAAGTCAAATGGAAGGTGCTGTCATCAGCCCTTAAAGGGGCCTGTGTGTTTCTTTATGATGAGGCAGTGCCAGCTGGCTGAGCTTCGATCCCCTTCCTTAAAGTTTGTAATTGACATTGTTATAACTGCATGTTTAAGGAGAGCTTACTGTAACTGCTGACTTCCTAGCATGGAGATTTAATGAGAATGTTACATTCATAGTACTAGTTTGTCAGAAAAGATGGACAGTTTTGAGTGCTCATGAAAGTAAAAATTTATGAAATAAAATTCATGTTTCTGCCTTTTGATAGTCACTCAGTACTTGCCACTAGTTCTGTGAGTGGCCCTGCAGAGCCATTGTGCCCCCCCACCCCATCTTGCCCCCCCCACTAAGCTTTACCTCCAGCTGAGTTCATGTTGAAGAACACACATGTAGGCAAACATTTCAGAATATTGTGACATATTACTGGCTTACCAGGACACGTTGTTTTTAAAGTGGTATGTGAGAGAAAGATGCTCAGGTGGAGGAGTTTTTTTATTGGGGGAAGAGGGGAGGAGAGAACGGAGACCAGCCTCTGGAGACAGGAGCGGCAGAAGAGGAGAGAGACAGGCAGAGTGATAGGCGGAAAAGCAGGGAGGGAGGGAGGGAAGGACCGACAGAAAGAGAAATGGGAGGTGCGCAGGGCTCTTTGAAAGGGAACGTAGTGCATGTGCACGGGAGGTGCTCTTAGTGGCTGCAGCTGAGGACGTAGCCTGTCAGGACCCCAAGGGCAGGCCAGTGCAGATGCCTGAGTACTAACAGCCCTGCCTGTCCTGGAATTCTGTGTGTAGACCAGGCTGGCATTGAACTTATAGGGCTTCACCTGCCTATGCCTCCCAGGTGCCGGGATTAAAGGTGCACCCCCCTCTGACTTTAGGACACAGTCATGTTAGGTTTCTAAAGTTTTGCCATTTTTCACTTAAAAGATGATTCTTGTTTTCAGAAGTAATTTTTTTTTTTCCCCGAGAACATCTTATGGAGTTGTAGGTATGTTAGGGTGTGGGCTTGAAGTCTGACAGGAGGAGACAGGCTGGCTTAGCTCCCTTGTCACGACTATGCAGGAGGGGGAGGTTTTGGAGAGGGGTGAGGCTTGGCTTTTGTCATGGGGATCATGCTTGAATCTCAGGGCAGCGGGATGCGGTGACTGTTCTAAGTTGTCGCTGCCGTTCCAGTTCTGGTTCCTACGAGCAGTCTGTCGAGGTCCAGAACTGACAGTCACCATGAGCCCCACTTGGGCAAATCCATGCTCTGAGCCAGGACTCCATGTCTGTTTTCTTGGCATCCTTAGCCCTGCAGAAGGAAGTGGAATCTCTAACCAGAGACCAGTGGGAGGCCAGGAAGCAGTCTGAGAAGGACCGTGCCACCCTGCTCTCTCAGATGCGGGTCTTGGAGTCTGAGTTGGAGGACCAGCTTGTGCAGCACCGGGGCTGTGCCCAGCTGACTGAGGAAGTGACCACCCTGAAGCAGCAGCTGGCTGCCCTAGACAAGCATTTGCGTAGCCAGCGTCAGTTCATGGATGTAAGAAGTTTTGTTTGCTTGTTTGTTTACATCACTTAAGTGAGAGCATGGATAGCTTCTGTGCCATCATGTTGCAGACTGGTGTGTAGTACTCATCTCAACGGCCTTGTTGCCTTGACTGGAGTGGGTACTTGGTGTTCTCCCTGCATTTGCCTGAGTTATCCTGGCATCTTCTTGTCCCATATTCCTTCCTGTGGTCTTGGGAGAAACTTCTAGCCGTCCAACTGTATTCTTGCATCAGTCTGTTTCTACAGAGACCAAAGTTGTCTTCCTGCCCAGCAGTTTCAAAATACCATGACTTTTTCAGAGATCTCCTTTGCAATTTAGCATTAGATGACTTCTTAACTCCATTTTGAAAAGTTGACCATGGCGAAGGGGATGTCACCGGGTCAGCAGCAGACACGCTTAATGTGTGGTTGGAGCCTCATTCCTTGGCTTTGTCACGTTTCCCCAAAGTATGGTCCTCACATATGACTTGTGGTTCAGGAGCAGGCTGCTGAGCGCGAGCACGAGCGTGAGGAGTTCCAGCAGGAAATCCAGAAGCTGGAGGAGCAGCTCCGCCAGGCAGCCCGGCCACGGCCTCCTGGGTCCCGTGACAGCCAGGTAGGTCAGCATGTGGTGTCCGGTGTCTGTGGGTGACTAATTACTGCGACATTTTAAAGTGTTGTTTCTCTTTGCATTTTGCCTTCCATGGATGTGGAAACAGCAGTGTGCTCAGCTAGATGAGGAGGTAGGGTGACGGCGGCCCCTTTGCTTTCGTCCTTCTGTCAGCTGATGGCTTGCAGCTTCCTAGCACAGCTTTCCCTCACCCTGCATGGCGGTTTGGGGCTGTGCGCACCGCCCTGTTGCTTACTCTTTGTGCTTTCGTTTCGGGCTGTGGAGGTCTGCAACCCCTTGACTGAGGTAGCTGTAGCTGATTTGCTTGTGCTGTTTTAAAAAGTAAACTTATTTTAAGGAAAGAATGGGTTCCCATGCAGTTGTGAGGAATAAGAGCCAGATCTCGTTGAGCGAGAGTCCCGCTTTCCAGCCTTGTATTGAAGGGATGCAGAGAGACTGGGCAGCCTTCGGTAACACTTCCTCCAGATGCTTTCTCACAGTGTTGTACGTTAAATATCAAACAAAGATTACAGCGGTTGGTTCAGAAAAGAGGCAGACGTGTAACACACAGTTACCTGTAGGGATGAGGTTTATTAGATTGAGCAGGCCTCAAGGCCGCGATTGGCTCTCCAGGTGGGATAGAGAGCCTTTGACAGAAACACATGGAGATAATATGTGAAATGAAGCATGATGGTACCTCAGACGGGAGGAGAAGCTTCCCCTAAAACCTGGGCTGGGGGGGCCTTCAGCAAGAGAATAGGGGGCTGGAAAAAATGGTTCAGCATTCGGGACCACTGGCTGCTTCTCCAGAGGACACGGCTTCTGTTCCCAGCATCCGTATGATGGCCCACAGCTAACCATTACAGCTCCAGGAATCTGATGTCCGCTTCTGCCTCTGCACTGCGCTGCACGCATGTGGTGCACAGGCATACATATGCAGCAAAACAGCCATACACATAGATAAATTTAAAATTCTTATCTTCCTTCCTTCCTTCCTTTTCTCTCTTCCTTTTCTTTTCTTTTCTTTTTTTTTTTAAAGACATAGTCCTGACTGTCCTGGAACTTACTGTATAGAAGGCTTGCTTCAAACTCAGAGATCTCTCTGCCTCCCCAGTGCTGAGGTTAAAGGCGTGCACCACTACTACCTGGCCTTTCTTTCTTCCTATTTTTTTTTTACAGCCTTTTTTCTTTCTTTTTTTATTTATTTTTATATGCATTGGTGTTTTGCCTGCATGTATGTCTGTGTGAGGACATCAGATCTCCTGGAACTGGAGTTACAGACAGTTGTGAGCTGCCATGCGGTTCCTGGGAATTGAGCCTGGGTCCTCTGGAAGAGCAGCAAGTGCTCTTAACCTATGAGCCATCTCTCCAGCCCGCCCCGCCCCCCTTTGAGAGTGAGAATAAGGAGTTGGAAAGATGCCTCAGTGGCTAAGAGCACTTGTACCAGGTGGCTCATAACCATCTGTAACTCTAGTTTCAGAGGGTCCAGCACCCTCTTCCGACACAGGCACAACTGTGTGTGCTTACATACATGTAGACAAAGCATACACATCCACATTTTTTAAAAATATGAAAAATTAAAACAAACAAAAAGAGTGAGAACAAGCAGGTGGGGGAGCCTTCCCGAGAGGGATGAGGTGGGCAGATGGGTCTCTCCCCGTGAGCAGCCTCCCTGAAGAGTCTCGAGAGCTCTTGGACAAAGGAAACACTAGGTCCTTTACAGCTTTGTAGGGGTGGCATGAATCTCACATCACATGATGTAGTTCAACATGATGTGTGTATGACAGAAAGCATGGAGCAGGTTTATGAACAGAGCTGCCAGGCTGCAGCACCCATGACTTTTGACTTCCAGAGAGAGCTGTAGGGGGTGTGGCCTGACACAAGCTGCAGGATGTGGCTTGAAGGTGTAGGCTCCTGGTCTAGCATTTTAGGACTGAGATTATGTGTCACCTCCCCCCCCCCCCCCAAAGACAGGGTTTCTCCGCATTTTTGGCACCTGTCCTGTAACCTGCTCTGTGTGTCACCTTTTAGGACTGGTTTATCACCCTTCTTCTCTTGGTTCCTTTCAAGTTGTTGCTCTCTTTGTATTTTAGCTGCTAAAGCAGTATGCCATTCCTTTTTCTTTCTTTTCTTTTTTTTTTTAAGATTTATTTTATGTGTAAGGTGCTGTGCTCTGTCTGCATATACGCCTGCATTCCAGAAGAGGGCATCAGATCCTATTGTGGATGGTTGTGAGCCACCAGGTAGTTGCTAGGAATTGAACTCAGGATCTCTGGAAACTGCTAATGATCTCTGGAAACTGCTAATGTTCGTAACCATTGAGCCAGTCCCTGTAGTATTCCATTCTTTTCTGTCAAAATAAGTTTTATTTTACTAATGCATTTGAGGTTATATTCTGTTTAGTGTGTGCTTCTTTTTTGTCCTTAAACAACTGTGCTGATCTGCCTGTAGGTACACTGAGATTTGAAACAATAGAGCACGCCTTAGTTGGCTTGTTATATAGACTGTTTTATTTGGAAGATTTTTTAACTGTCTGTTACATTTCTTCTACATTTGCTTTTGTGTTTAGGTTGAATTGTTACAAGAAAAATTGAGAGAAAAATTAGATGGATTTAATGAATTGGTCATAAAGAAAGATTTTGCAGATCAACAATTGTTAATCCAAGAAGAAGAAATTAAACGTCTCGAGGAGACAAATGTCAACATACAAAGACAAATGGCCCAGCTCCAGGAAGAACTGGAGAGACAGAAAAGACACATGGAAGAATTCAAAGTAAAGTCCTGTGCATCCTAGTTGGGGCAAAGCACCAGCCTGGGGGCGGTGAACTGTGGACGGGTTGGACACTGTGTGGATCAGCTCATAGGGAAAGAAGTGTTGGGTCTCTGGGCATGTGGCATGAGACTAAAACTGGACTTGTATTTTGGGGGCCCTGTAGTAAGCCTTGACAGATGCCCCCAGTGGCTTCAGGGCCATAGGCAAGGCTTTGTCAAAGTAGAACTGTCTCGTTGCCTAGAATCAGTTGTGTCCTGTCTTGTCTTTTCTTTCTTTCTTTCTTTCTTTCTTTCTTTCTTTCTTTCTTTCTTTCTTTCTTTCTTTCTTTCTCTTCTAGGTCAGGACTTTATTTAGGGTTTTTCTTTTTTTTTTTCTTTTTCTTTTTTCTTTTTTGGATCATAGTTTAAAAAGTTGCTTGAAAAGTGATACCGAAGGAGAAATGTTATTCAGCATCCATAGCTTGCGTGAGACACGAATCCTGCTTGAAGGACGGCTGTGGAGTTCTTATCAGTTTGTCTGGTTTTCAGAAGTACTGGTGGGAACTCAGACTCCCCAGGAGACTGGCACCTGCCTGTACCCCTCCTTGTTTTCTCAGAACTTATGTTCAACCATGCCTACAGGATTCCTGCCCTGCTCCGCACAGTTCCTGCAGCTCACTTCAGAGCTGTTGCTACCGTATTCTTTGACCTGACACTCACTGTGCTTATTAAATATTAAGGGATAGAAAATTTCCATTCTTCTTCCCATGCTGGACCACTTACTTGGCGTTCTATGCCAGATTTGTCAGTCCCTCAAATTTTGTGAGCATTTATACAACAGTGAATGGTCTTTCAAACTTTTCTTTTAAAAGAAATTCTTTTTTTTAAATTATTATGTATACAACATTCCTTCCATGTATGCCTGCACACCAGAAAAGGGCACCAAATCTCATTATAGATGGTTGTGAGCCACCATGTGGTTGCTGGGAATTGAACTCAGGATCTCTGGAAGAGCAGTCAGTGCTCTTAACCTCTGAGCCATCTCTCCAGCTCCCTTAAAAGAAATTCTTGTAGTATTTTATGTGTATGGGGGTTTTGCCTGCATGGATGGCTGCATCACATGCATGTAGTGCTCTCAAGGACCAGAAGAGATCCAGTGCTTAGATCCCCTGGAACCAGAATATAGACAGTTGTGAGCTGCCATATGCGTGCTGAGGCTTCTCTTAACCCCTTGGAAGCTTCCATACATTAATGGTCAGCATTTGGATATGTTGTCCAGCACACCCTATTTTGTCTTTTCCCTTGTAGCTTTAAAATTGGTACTATCGTAGTGGACACTTTCTAGGAACCTCTCACAGTAGAGTCAAAGGCACACTCCTCTGGCTTTCCTCACCAGGTGGACCTAGCATGAGCTCAGATAGGTTCTGTTGAGCGTGTGTAATCTGGAGACCCACTGAGTACAGGGATGTACAAATGAGCCCATTCTGCAGGATTCTGTGTTATGACTTAGATCTTTATGGTAATTGATTCTTTAGGTCCTCAATTCCTTGTTTGCCTAAAATAAATATCCATTCTCCCGCCTCCCCCAAAACAGGATAAAGAGGTGCTAAAGCAGGATCACGCGAGTGACTTACTGCTACCCCCTGTACCACAGTGTAGGGCGGACGAAGCTGGGTTTCCTGTGCCTTCTCAGGACAGCCCTCCTAGGGGTCATGAAACCCAGCCAGAGGTAACTGAGACAGCACTCCTGCAGCATGAGAGTGAGGTAAGTAACATGTCCCCTCATGGCCCTGAGCACTTCTGCCTGAAAGTTGACCATCCAAAAACAGGTAGACGCATTGTGACCAAAGGATATACTTTGTAACTTTTTGGGATGTATGTCATTCTAGGATAATACCTGCTCTTTGAGATCTTCCAAAGTTGCTTTAATAATTATTCAATCAGCTATAATATTAGATAATTTTCAGCACTTCTTCACGTAGATATGAAAGAGTATGGACTTAAAAGAACAGCCAGAAAAGATCAAAGATGACTTAGTAGCTGGGTGTGGTGGCATATGCCTTTAATCCCAGCACCCAGGAGGCAGGCAGATCTCTAGAGTTCAGGGCATCCTTTTTCTGGACCCAAAGAGTGGGCGTAGTGTGTTTGGATTTACAAATCCATCTGAGGATGGTATTGGCTTATTCAGTCTCTATGCTTCTCTGCTTCTATGTGTTAGTATTCAGACATCTATCCATACTGGCCTGCCCTTGAGATTCTGGCAAGCTACGTCCTCAGCTGTAGCCACTAAGAAGGCCTTGTGCACATTTCCCTTTTAAAAGAGCCGTGTCCACCTCCCCCACTCTGTCTTCCTCTGTCTGTTCCTTTATCTTTCTCTCTGCTTCTTTGCCTGTGTCTCTGTCCCTCCTTCTCTCCCTCTGCTTCTCTCTTCTCTTCTGCTGCTCCTGTCCCCACAGGTTCATCTTCCCCCCTCCTCTTCCCCCTTCTTACGTTCCCTTTCCCCTAAAAAAAAACCCCTCCGCGTGAACTCTGTTGCATGGCGTCTTTCTCTCGCGCGCCGTTTTTTAATTACAGCACTATGTATTTGAAGGAGAGGCTCTCAGGCTAATTCGTTCGTGACTACCTTACGACATGTGCTTCCTCTTTAGGTTGTACCCAGTAGAAACTCTGAGATTGAGGAGCTGAAAGCCATCATCGAAAATCTGCGGGAAGACCAAGCACAATTACAGAAGAATAAAGCAGAAGAAATTGAGCAGCTCCATGAAGTCATCGAGAAGCTGCAGAGTGAGCTGACCCTTATGGGGCCCAAGGTGCATGAACTCAGTGATCACCAGGCTAACAGTCTCCACGACGAGCTGTCCTGCCTCCACGCAGAAGACCAGCGTGAAAAGGACCTACGGAATGAGCTGGAAGCTGCACAGGCAGCCAAGGAGGTCTTTGGCCAGCTTCTGGCAGACCAGGCACATGGACACAGCCAAGTCCTGGAAGCGCTGCAGCAGCGTCTACAAGATGCAGAGGAGGTTGCTGCAAGACGCTTTGCTGACCTAGAACATTGTGTGGCCCTCAAAGAGGCTGAGGTTGAAGGCATGGCCTCCCGGATCCAAGAATTTGAAACTATCCTGAAGGCAAAGGAAGCAGTCATTGTGCAGAGAGATTTAGAAATTGACACCATCAAGAAGTGGAAAGTAACTCATTCCCTTGAGCTGGAGACCATCCTCTTGGCTTTGACACACTTCTGTCATGCTCTGGAACAGCAGACCTTGGCCACCCCAGATGAGCCTCCTGAGCTCCAGCAGCTGCGAATGCAGTGTGCTCGCCTCAGCCACCAGCTGCAAGTGCTGCACCGGCGCTTCCTGAGCTGCCAGGTGGAGCTGGACCGGCAGCAGGCTCATGTAGCATCTGTTGGCTGCTCATCCCCTGGTGCGGATGCACAGGCGAAGCATGATGGTCAGTTGGAGCAGGACAGTGTCAGCACGGGGCTGGCCTTGGTGCCCCACAGCTCGTCTCCGCAGGTAGGCCTCCATCGTTGGGGACGACAGTAGGGAGCTTTCTGTTTCGGAGCTGGAGGTGGGGGGTGCCCTGGGGCCAGGCAGGATGCTGGGTTGTTGTCGTCATCCTCCAAGGCTTCTGTCTTCTTAACTTTAGTGACTTCTTTTTAGTTTGGACATTGGGCTCCTGGTCTCATTAGTGGCTCCTAACAGGGCAGAGATGAGAGCCTGGAGTTTGGGTCACTTGGGTCATCAATTCCAGTGAGTCCTACTGGGGTCACGCCAGCTTCTTAAACCAGTTCTTTTAAAGTTAGGGTACCATGTGTAGTGACAGAGGTCTCTTGGCATTAATTTCATGGGGTTTTGTTGTGTCTCCAATCAAATGGTTTGTTTTCAATAATCCTATCCCGTGGAAACCATTTTAAGCTCATTTCACTTGGAACAGAAGGTCCTACCCAAGGTGCCTTTTAAATGTTCTTTTATTAAATGGTAGCTCACCCAGCACTCGGGAGGCAGAGGCAGACGCAGACATCTCTGAGTTCGAGGTCAGCCTGGTGTACTAAGTGAGTTCCAGGACAGCCAGGACTGTTAAATAGAGAAATTCTATCTCAAAAAAAAAAAAAAAATCCAGTTTGACTTTGAGCAGAACTTTCGGGATTAGCTGCTCCTTTCCCAGCTGCTCTGCTCTGTGGCTCTTTCCTAAGTCCTCAGTGATGATGTGCCCGCCGCAGTGATGGGTAGCGAGCGGCCGCTGAAGCCCCTTCCCTTTGGTGCCTCTGCTCGCTGCTGTGCGGCATGAGTGCTCAGGTGTCTGAGGGGAAGCCAGGCTGCACCTGAGTCCCTGACTGACCCAGCTCTAGCTTTAGAGGCTCGCTCTGTTTCCTCTGGTCCAGGATAATCTACCGCCTGCCAAAGTCCTTGTGACACTAAAGGATGCCAGTCTCCACAAGGCAGAAAGTGTGATGTCGGTGCTCGCAGTCTGCCAGAGGTGGTTGGAGGCAGAGATGCTTTTAGTGAAGAATGCAGTGCCTTTGAGCCTGGAGGATGACAGCGAGGCCCTGGACAGGGGGATGCAGGTGTGTGGGCTGGTTGACGTTGGTGAATGCTGCCGGGGATGAGGTCTGCTGGGTCTGCCGTCCTCGGCTGGGCGAGACTCAGCACAGGGTGTGCATTACGACAGAGGGTTGTTTAGCCAGGGGTGAGAGTATCCCATATAGTGGAATCTCCCCTGAGTCCATATCCCTGTTATATTAATTCTCCTCGTTCAGCTTTATTTAAAGATACGTGTCCTGTAATGTGAGTAGATATGTTTTATTCGTGTAAAGACCAAATTGCCCCACTCTCCATCCTTGAGATTTTTACCTTTCCATTGTCCCTGCCAGTGTCTTTCCAACTTTAAAAGTCTGAGATTTGTTCTTGAACCTTATTGTCCTCCCACTCCCATCTTTTACTCTCTGAAAGGTCAATTTTTACTTTAGAAAAGAAGGGCCCCTGGGGGAACTTTGGATTGTTGCAGGGTCATGATTTAATGAGGAAGCAGGTGACAGCAGCCCTCGCCTTGGGTCGGCCCTCAGGTCGCGGGGCTGCTCCCTGTCCTAGACGTGTAGGATGTGTCACGCCACCAGTGCCTCGGTGAGAGCAAGTTCATCCTGGTGTGTGTGTACCTGTGGCCTGCTCGTGGATGCTTACAAAACAGGCCATGATTCCTTGGCCGTCTGTAGGCCTCTAACACCTCTTGAAGCTGTTTGTTCTCAGTACACATGTGGCACTGGACACCTGAAAGACTGTGATGGCCCCTCTAACGTGAGCATTGTGTACATGGTGGAAGCCCAGACGCTTGCAACATGCCTGCATGTGCTATGTGCACATTTGTGTCTTAGAACATGAAAGACTTAGGACTGCACACTTGGCTGGACCCAGGCTAAGAGCAGGACCTGGGTGGGCTGTGATTCCGAGAGATGTTTCTATCCATCTCAAGAGTCCTTTGAACACTCAGGGAACACATTCTATGCAAAAATTCTTGCCAGCTTGCTACAGCAGCCTCTCCCTGTGCTCGGCCCTGTGGCATCACAAACAGTGCCAGGTACGTGCTGATAAGGAAACTCCACATTCATTACAGCAATTACATTTTTTTGTTTTCCAGTGTTTGGATATAGAACCTTCCAGTTTCTTTTTTCCTCAAAACAAAAGAAAAAGAACAAACCAAGACCTGAGTCTTAGTAAATCAACACTTGTCATTGGTTATGGTGTTACGATGCTTGTCATTTAGGCAAAAACAAGTAAACAAACCAACAAACACAAAAACAAAAAACTTTTAAGTTTTAATTCTTTTTTTTCATGACATTAAATAAACTTGACATCTTAGTGTCTGAAGGCTTCCTCATGGATCTTACTCATAGGTGTTTACTGTCTGAAAATAGTTGAGAAATTTTAGAGAGATAATGGCAGAGTGTATCATAACTCAACTGCTTCACTTGGCGTGTTCTCTTCTCTCGCAGGCTAAGGAAAAGCAGCCGGAAGTTTGTCAGCTGGGCAGTACGACTCTCGTAGCCCAGGTGAAACAACTTCAGGAGAAACTGAACCACCTGGTGCGTTCCATGGCCTCTAGGGACACCAGCACAGAAAATCCTGAATTACCACAGCCAAACCTATCAGAAAATGGTTCCAGTAATAATTGTCATAACGATGAAGAAGGCAGTGTGTCCCCTCCTGTTGATGGATTTAATATTGCTAAAACCACATGGAATGTCATGGATGTCATTCAAAGTCAGGATTTGTTGGCCCAAAGTGAAATGCCAAGTTCTCCCCCTCAAGAAACATTAGCACTGCAAGGCGGACCTCTTTCCTCTCAAATCAGCATGCACACTGACTCCCTCCACACTGAGGAGGCTGAGCCCCACAAGGACCCAGTAAGGGCCCTGGACCTGTCTTCCTGGAGCTCCCCCGAGGTCCTCCGGAAGGACTCAAGCCTCGAGCCCCAGCACAGCCTGTCCCTGACACCCCACACAGGTACAGTGAGCCTGCACAGTGCCGACACCTCCTCCCAAGGCTGGACAGACTCGCTGCTGCTGGCCGATGCGTCAGGGCTGCTTTGTTACCCGGGCAGGTCAGCAGCAGGACAGGCCCCACTGTGGGTGGTGGCTCCTTCGGCTGAGAACCGCCATGTGGAGAGGCCAGCTGCGGTAGGTGTCTCCCCGCACTCCCTGCTGTAGCATTTGTGGGTGGTCAGGGTTTTCGTAGGGATACATCACAGCCAGGCTATTGTTGGCTCATTTGACTGTAGGTGCCTCCTAGGTGCTGAGGAGCCTGGTTTTCCAGAAGAAATCAGTCCTACATGTGACTGTTTTAGGGGCATTTAGACCATCTGAAACATGAAGGTTAATTGTCGTCCTCAGAAATATACGTGGTGTGTCTATCCTCATGTTGATTCTGAGTAGCACAGTCGTAATTCTTGTGTAATTCACCAAAGGACTCGTCTGAAATGGTTTAGATTTTGTGTGTGTGCATACACATGGAGGCCAGAGGTCAATGTCACGGCTTCCTCCGCAATCACTTTCTACCTTATCATGAGACGGCGTCCCTCTCAGAGCCAGAGCTTCCTGTTCGGGCTGGGCCAGCTGTCTCCACCTTCCAAGTGCAGGGATTCTAGATCCGTGCCACCCCACCTGGGTTTTCATGTGGATGCTGGGGGTGGGAATGTACACACACCACTGGCTAAGCCATAACCACAGCCCTAGGTTTATCTGTAGTAATTGTCCATGTGCTTAATGCGTTGTTATGTATGTGATGTTGATTCCATTTAAGAACACTTCAATTTGCTATTTTTTAAGTTTGATTATATTTTTCTATTTTGAGATTTTTTTTATGAAAATTCTTTGGGGGGGAATACATGTTACCTAAGATCCATACACTATCATTTATGCTCATATTTTAAGTATCTGAGGTATTTGCTAGTGGCTATTTATAAAGATTATTTTTATAGTGTCTTTTTTTTAAATTACATTTTATTTATTATGTGTTTGTGTGCTGCACATGGAAGCCAGAGAACATCTCGTGGGAAACGTTTTTCTTTTTGCCACATGGGTCCCATGCCTCACACTCAGGCTACAAGTGCCTTTACTCACGGAGCCATTTCTCCACCCCTTAAAAACACCCCTTGTGCTGATGGCGTGTGGGCAGCACGTGGTTCCAGCATCTCCATCATATCTGCGTGTTCTGAGTGTTTCAAGCTGGGTTCTCTGTGGGAAGCTGATACGTTCTGACCTTAATGAGTTTTCGACTGTTATTTACTGTTGTGTGACCATCTACAAATCTGCCTGTCTGAATAGGAGAAGGATGTCGAAGACTTTATTGTAACATCTTTTGATTCTCAAGAATTATTAACATCCCTTCATGAATTAGCAAGAAGAAGTGATGGGAGTGGGAAAAGTGAGTCGGTCTTTCTGATTTTTTTTATAATGTGTTTGTGTGTGTGTTTACGATGTGTGTGCATATTTTTAGGATTCGGAAGAGTCTAAAGATTGTACCATGTCCTCCTTGCTGTCCAAGCTCCGGCACCTACTTGTGCCCTGAGTCTAAGTTGCCAACATGCTGCTGTTTGTCTCCTAAGAATGTCATTGTGTTTTTTGAAGTCAGGGACTCAGCACAGTGCATAGCACCTGTACTTTATCGTGTCTTTGGATCCTAAGCAGATTGTGCCAACTGTCCCTGTAGTGTCCTTCACAGATAGACAGGAGAACAGAGCAGGTCAGGTCTGCATGTGGAGCAACCCTTTTGTCCCTCTCTGGGCTTTATAGACACCAACATTTGCAAAGCGCAGAAGTGGGAATTATTCACAGGGTCTGGTTTGTTCTTCAGGTTGAGCATGGGCTATGGCGTCATCACATCAGGAGGTTAGTGGGGCCAGTTTAGACCCCATGGGCCACGTTGTGTCTGCCAGGTCCTCTTTTGCAGAGGGTAGCCGTCCCCGGAAGAGTCTTGGCGATGTGTAAATGTTGTTCTATATATCTGATCTACTATCCTTGTTCCCTTCTCTCCAGGTTCTTGTGGGTTCAGTTTTATTAAAGATGTTGGGCCAAACTTTGATTATCTAAATTCTCAATTTCTCCTGAATTGCTTTTCTTTTTCCAAGTCAGTATATGTAGGACGTTCCAAATCATCATTATCTCTGTCAAGAATTTTAAAGAATGATATCATAATGAAATGTCGTTCATTAACAATTTAATATTTGTAAAATGCTAACGCAAGAAACTTTTAAAATTCAGTTTCCCTTTACTCCATTGGAACATATGGCTTAAGCAGTTGAGGGTCTGGGTTGCATTCCTTAGCTGGCTTCTTTTCAGCCCCCAGCTTGGGTTCAGCATTCCCTGGGGACTTTAGTATTTGATGTAGCTTCAAACCACATTTGCTATTTAAAATGGCATCTAGCCAGGCCTGGTGGCACACGCCTTCAATCCTAGTACTTGGGAGGCAGAGGCAGGCACATCTCGGTGAGTTAGAGATCCCGTCTCAAACAAAACAAAAATAAATAAAAATAAATAATGTAGCATCTAAACATAGCACAAATTCCCCTTGCTTTGCTCCTGTTGTCAGCCTTGGAGGTCTGTGTGCCTGTGTCCGTCTCTGTGAGTGTTAGCATGCAAAGGCTGTGAGTTCTTGGCTGTCCACTCTGGTTTTCCTCCCTCATGCTTGAGAAAGTGCCTGGGCTTTCTCTGTACATATTAAGATTTCCTTTTGTTGCTGCACTTTCCTCCCCAGTATATTTTGGTGTTAATATTTCCCTTGCTCATCTGAGACTGTAGAGTGACTTTCCTTAAAGTGGAGATCTGCTGCGTCCCTATAGTCTGGGCGCTGGTGGGAAAATTCTCTCCCTGGGCACCAGACCTCACTGTACCTCATTGGCCAGCGTGTTCCTGTAGGCTTTCCTGGGCTATTGTAGGCTAGAGGCCTGAAGATCCAGCTTATATGCTTCCAAGAGCTGTAAAGCCCCCCAACTGGTGCCACAAGCTCTGGATTGTGTTCAGCGCTGTTCCTGCCCCACGTCATGCCAAGTCAGAACATTTACCTTTCTAGACCAGATGCTGCAGTTCAACCAACCGCTCCCACCTCCGCTAGGCTTGGTGCCCTGGCCGCTGTATTCCTGGTCCCTGTGCTTTGTGTGAAGTACCTAGACCTGAGGTATAGTCCTGCTGCTCCTCAGTCCTTTCTGGGGTGCAGTTGTCAGTGAGGGTTACCAGGTACACACCCATGTAAGGAGCTAAGATAACTGAGCTTCATGTTTGAGTCACAGACAACACATCAAACATGCAAAGCAGTGTTTCCTTCCTTACTCTTTTCCTCCTGTTTGTGTTTTGAGTTTGTTTACCACCTTTGCCTGCTGCACATCAGTGTTTCATGTGGCGTGAGTGGCTGTAACTGTAGTTGGAAATGGATATTGTGACTTCGGCTCCTGACCTTGTGTGCTCCTAGGCAATGTCCCGAGCAGTGCTCTCATGCTGACTTTGGGCTCAGGAGGATCTGAGACTCCCACCACCAGTCTTGCAAATGCTGATGCCCTTCCTCTCTCTGGAAGATTTGTCCACTCCCCAGGAGCAATGAAGGAGAAGGAAATCCACGCAAAGCACATGAAGGTAAGAGCCAAGAGCTATAGTTCAAGAGCATTGTCAGCCCACAGCGAGATGAAGAGCCTGGCCCTTTCTTCTTCGCTAGCCTACGCCTACACATATCCAGGCGCTCAGCCTTAGCCCATTGGTGGGCACACTCGTTCTGAGCCACCACCGCCATGGGAGTCCCACCTGAAGGCCATCTTCTGTGGTCCTATGCCAGTCCCACAGGTGATGATGTCCCCCTAGGTAGGGACCTTGAAGCATCTTACTTGAGAGTCTCAGAACTGGCTTGTCCTTGTTGTGTCTGTGTTCTGGGGCAGAGTACTATTTTCTTCAGAGAGAGAAAGGCTACTTGCTGCCATTGAACAGGCATGCCATTTATGCCAAACACATTCTTGTCAACATGGCTACATAAGTAAATGGTATCATGCCAGTATGGTGTCTTAATAAAATAATAGAAGTATCCCAAAACAATGGTGGTGTTTGTTTTTTTTGTAATAGTCTCGTTGTGTAGCCCAGCCTGACCTCTAACTCAGCCTGTCTAGTGCTGAGATTGTAGGTTGAGCCATCATACCTAATGAAACTTTTTTTGTGTGTGTGGGTGTTTTGCACGCCAGAAAAGGGCATCATATCGTATTATAGATGGTTGTGAATTGCTTCCAAGTTGTTCATATACCATTTGTGTACCTCTTGTCCACGGTAGCCAAAAGAGGTTGTCAGATCCCTTGTAGTTAAAGTTGCAGCTAGTTGTGAGGTGCCTTGTGGGTCCTGGGAACGGAACCTGTGTCTTCTAGTAGACCGGTTAACACTCTTAACTGCTGAGCCATCTCTCTAACCCCACCAGTAGATAAAAACAATTTTCATGTTCTTAAGAACTCTGAAATTATATTAAAGTAAAACTTTATTGCTTTCAGAATGGAAACCAAGGAACTGGGGAGAGTATTCAGAAATTCCACAGTGGTGTGAGGGTCTGAGGGTGATCCTAACACATAAACCAGGGCAGGACACCTTGTACCTGTCAGCAGGGGGTGGTCAGCGACAGGAGGTCCCTGGGATTCGCTCGCTGGCCAGCAGTGTAGGTGAAGTTACTGAAGCAGGCTCCAGGTTAAGGGAGAGATTCCGTTTTGAATAATAAGGTGAGGAGTGATTGAGGAACACACTGGTTTCTATACACATATGTATAGGACACACACATACACACACAAAACACTCATGAGAATTGGAATAACTGATCTATGTTTTATTTCTTTGTGTCTTTCCAAATTTTGGTACAAACCATTGAAGAGAGGTTTTTAGTATTTAAGCAACCTAATAATAAAATAATTTTTTAGATTTTCAGTTAATGAACTGAGGTGGTGGTAGTTCACTGTGTGGATGGAGGTGGTGGTAGTTCACTGTGTGGACTGAGGTGGTGGTATTTCACTGTGTGGACTGAGGTGGTGGTAGTTCACTATGTGGATGGTAGGTTTGTGCTGCTCTGTCCCCCTTCCTGATGTGTGTTTCTGCTGTAGGCTTTGCTGCAGATGGTATTTGATGAGAGCCACCAGATACTGGCCTTATCGGAGAACCAAGACCTCCCCAATTCGCTGAGCAAGGGTGAACCGCTGGATGGCCTTCCAAGGGACAGGCAGGCCCTTTTGGAGGTGACAGCTGACAGAAGAGAGAAGGTAGGAAATTGATGATTCAGTCAGTGAGAAGGAGCCAAGTGCAGCCTCAGAGATACTTATAGGCCTAGGACCTGTTATAATGTGGGCATGTCGCTGTGTCTTTGGTCAGCATTCTTGCTCCTGGCCAGAACCCCAGGAAGCACAAAACACCCAGCAGAGCAGCTCCATATAGCTCCAGGCCTTCCCAGACCAGGGCCCAGCAGGTGCAGCAGCAGGAAGGGAAGGAAAGAGGGCTGCCCATTATATTAGCTTTTTTTGTAGCTGTGATCAAGTATGGGAACCAAGGCAACCTACAGAAGGAAGAGCTTAATTTGGCTTATGGTTCCAGTGGATAAGAGTCCATTCTGGTGGGGCGGCATGGCAGGAAGCAGCGGGCATGGTGGCAGGAGCAAGCAGCCGAGAGCTCATGTCTCAACCACAGGCATGAAGCAGAAAGAGTAAACTGTAAGTGGATAAAGCTCTTTGCTCCCAAAGCCTGCCCCAGTGGCATACTTTCTCCAGCAAGGTCAAGCCACCTACACCCGCCCCCCCCAAACAGTGCCACCAGCCGGGGACCAAATGTTCAGATGCCTTGGACTATGGAGGACACTTCACAGTCAAACCACTACTCCCAGGTTTTCTCCATCTCACCTCACACTTCTACCAATTAAAAACAAAAGCACTTATTGTGTGGGGGAGGGGTTGCCGCATCATGCGTGTGGAGGTCAGAGTGTATGTGGGAGTTGGTTTTATCCTTATTTTGTGTGTCTCCTGAGAATTAGACTCAGTTTATCAGGGTTGGCCGCATGAGCCTTTACCTGTGGAGCCATCTTCCTGACCCTGATTATCAGTATTTTTAATTAATTTATTTTATGTGTATGAGCATTTTGTCTGCATGTATGCCTGTGCACCACATGCGTGCCTGCTGCTCACAGAGGCCAGAAGAGGAGTCGAATTCAGTGGTACTGGAGACACAGTTGTGAGCTAACGTGTGGGTCCCCTGGAAGAGCATCCACTGTGCTCTTACCACTGAGCCATCTCTCCAGCCACTTCTACCAGTATTAAGATTTTACTAATATTTTTCGAGAAGTTTATACTTGTTTTGATCATATTCACCCCACTCCTCTTTTAGATTCATCCTACCTTCCCTACATACCTGTGTGTGTGTGTACTTACCTGTTGAATTATCTCGGGTTGAGAAATAGCTACAAGACAGACCAATTATATTTTTCTTTATTATAAGGGGCAAACTCACAATACAGGAACGAGAAGTCCAAGCTCAGCTGTGTAGTGTGGGAACCACAGAACTTTTTAATCCCAGTATCCAAAAGGTCATGCCCCTAACTTGGTCCTACCTCTTAAAGTTGTTTGGCTGACAGAGATTCCCCATTACCTACCCCTTTTGACTAAATAAGAGAGTTCCAAACCCAATACAAAACTATATGCAATAAGAACAGATATCAAGGATAAAATTATAACCAACATAAATAATATTAAATAAGGAACACATGTTAAATGTTTAATAAACATTCTATTTTAAAGAGTGTACATTTTGCATCTGAAACGACTTGGCTAAATCATAAGATGAAGGTAACTATAACTATCTAATCTTCAACCCCATCGAAGGCCTGAGAAGGGAAAGAAAAAGTAGTTCAAGCAGCTTCCAAAATGTGCAGTATATGACAGAGACAATTGGCTACCTGAGCAATCACTCAAAGTCTCATTTGCAACACTGAAGCAACCAACTTTGGCTAAGGCCTAGCGTAAGTGACAGACCATTCTCAGAGGCAGGAAATTTTTCAGAACCATCTTACCCTGTCTTGGCAAGGTTTAGCAGTCTGTTTTTGTGTCCTTCTTATTCAGTCCGGATACCATACACTTTGTCAGTGGTCGAGGTATGGGCAGTTCCTTGCCCAAAGGCCAATTGTGCCAAGAAGAAAACAAGCTCCAAGTGGAATGTCTTCGATGCTCAACAATCTCTTGGGAATAGATTGGTGTTGTCAAGAACAATTGTGTCTCACATCAACAGAACCCTAAGTTATTTAAATGCCATGTTTTACAGATCCTTGAAATGGTTGAAGATTACCTATCGAGGCAGAATACAATCCATGTATTTAGAGAACCTAATTAATTTGACTGTGTGTATAACAAACATGAATAACTATAGATCTATAATACTTAATACCTGTATAACTTAAAGACTAAGACTTCATATCAGAATATTAAATAATTTGTAAACAACTGTGTAGCAAATGAGGAAAATGACCTCAAAATGTAAACAATGTATAAGTATCTTGATCAGAGTTAGGACTATATAATGCAATATGAAAACATATCCTAAAAATTGTATCAATATACAAAATGTCTTAAACAGAGGTAGGAACATGCATATATACAATCTGACAAAATAACTGCATAGGTGTACAAATATTGTAAACAGAAATAACAAATATAATTTGAACTTGTATTAATATACAAAAAATTATACCAATGTAAATTGTCTATAAGTAATAAATAGGTCACAAGTATTCACTCTATTACCCACTATTATTATTATTAGTATGAATAATTTCACACTAAATTATCTATTATTCCATTCAATTTTTTTTTTTTAAATCTCTGGGCCTACATAGTTTCCACAGTGTCCCCAACCCTGAAGACAAACTTTGTTGGGAGAAGGGATGTCATCTTCTAGAATTACTTCCTGCTGTCATTGGGAACGTTGTTCTTTTTATGGGATCCTGTAAAGTGATGGTTAAGTTTTAAGATGACTGTCTAGTATAATTGCAAATGATTTCTGAGTAGTCAGTAGGGGTTTTTCAAAGTTCTTATTTGAAGTTCTGGCCAAAATGTTGTGAGAAGGTGCACCATTTTAGCAGCTGGTACCCAAAATGAAAAATATGATATAGACAAAATAGGCCTGGATAAAACACAGACTGTGTGTATGTAAGCGTGCGTGTGTGGGTGAGGGTGAGAGTTTAAAGCCTTGCACATTCTAGGCAGGCCTCTGCCACAGAGCCTGCACCCCAGTCCCTCACCGAGTCTCTGGTTTCTTATCCACAGGAATCTTTGGAAACACACCTTACATGGAGTGAGGAGCTTCTGCGGGCCCTACAAGAAATGTTTGCCAGGGAGCAGGAGAATGCCGAGCTGCAGTCTAGACCTTACGGCTTAGACCTAGGAGATTATAACGCCCTGTTCAAGAGGCTGGAGAAGGTTATTCAAGAGCGGGTGAGCAACAGTTCAATCTAGGCTTTGATTTACTACCTTCGAGAGGGTGTAAGGGATGTGTCCTCTAGGGAAGTTTTGGTTTACATGTTTTTCTAAACTTTGGAACGTTGTGCCCACTGAGGACACCATGTGGAATATCATGCTGTCAACTTGTTAAGTGTTGTTTTTAGCAAAATCTCAATTGTTTGATTTTATCAATAAAGACTCGGGAGCCAGATGCTGGGATGAAATCCTGCTAGCTCGGAGAGGCAGGGAAAACTCCCAACCGAACTTCCTCCTTCGCCAACTCAACATCTTTCCCTTCTTCTTCTTGTGTCCCTCTCACCATCCTCATGACCCCCTCTACCTGCTGGTGTTTTTTTCTTGTTTACTTCCTGTCCGCTGGTCACTTCCTCCACCTCTTGTCCTGTGGTTGATTTTATTTAATCCTGTTTACAATATTCAAGAGAAAGTGTGTGTTGGGGCTGGGCCACACCACAGCTAGAAGCAGGATTTTCTAGGAAATAGCACAATCTCGTGGTTCACAGTGAACAAGTATCCTGCAACAGTAAGCACTGGTGTGCTTGGTGAATTCTTCCCTGAGTCTTTCTCCCCTGGACATGGCTGGCAAAAGGAACAGGCTGTCTGGGCTTGCCTGCATGGCCAAGCACACTGCTCATGGGCCAGAGGACGTTAACGTGGTTCAGGACACTAGGAGTCCTGTTTGTGCCACTGCCCACAGATGAGAAGTCTAGACTTGAAGTGGCGGTGCTGACACAGCACTGCCCGGGCCCAAAGCTGTCAGGAAAGGGGCTTGGAGGTAAGGAAGGCCCTGGACTACTGTGCTCCTGCTACACCTGTGTGGTCGTCCAACTTGTTCCTACAGCACCGGAGCTTGGGTTTGAAAGGGCAGAGGGCGTAGCTATGCAGAGTGAAATGCGCCTGGCTTCCCCTCCGAGCTTGGGTGATCACCACCCAGCACTCACACCTCATCTGTCCTTCCCCATCCTCCAGGGAGACCTGCAGAAGGTCCAGGAACACCTGTGTCTGCCAGACAGGCGCAGCCTGCTCTCTGAGGTTCAGGCTCTGCGTGCTCAACTCCGCATGACACACCTCCAGAACCAAGAGAAACTACAGCAATTGTGTGCAGCCCTGACGAGCACAGAGGCCCGTGGGAGCCAGCGGGAGCACCAGCTGCGGAGACAAGGTGGGTGCCCCTGCTCCTGTCACTCCACGCCTGCCCCAAACCTGCTCACGCTACCTCGGGATGCATTAGGCAGACGGGATTGCCAGTCCCTCACGTACAAAGGCCCAGTGGTCCTGAATGGGTGCCAGTGTTTGCGGCTCTTGTCATCTCTCAGTGGAGGTCAGGAATTGTTGTTAAGGAATTTTTTTGTAGGCAGGATTTGTGAACAAATGGAATATCTCCTTTCTGACCTGACAACCTTCCTGACGTTCAGTTATTTACTCTTTTGTGTGGGTCAGTGTCTCTGTTTTCATTTGGTTTCTACTGAGTAATCATCGTTAGGTTGGTTCATGTGCATGTCTGGGCTATACTCAGTTTTTTGTGTGTTTACAAGCATCCTGGTCTGCAGTCTTGGACTCTCTTTTTGACTCAAGTTGACAAAGCACTGGCCTTGTAAGAACCAGTGTCTCCTTCTGTATTTCAGAGGACTGTGCAGAATCAGGCTAGTTTCTTCCTGACGTTTGGGGAGAATTTCTCCGCCAAGCCATGAGAGCCTTGACTCGTCTCTGTTGTGGATGTGTGTGTGTGAGGTTGGCTAGTGCCATAGGTCTCAGGGACATGTCCTGACCAGGAGATTAGTACTTAAGAAAAAATGGTCTTGGGGGCTGGAGAGATGGCTCAGAGGTTAAGAGCATTGCCTCCTCTTCCAAAGGTCCTGAGTTCAATTCCCAGCAACCACATGGTGGCTCTCAACCATCTATAATGGGGTCTGGTGCCCTCTTTTGGCCTACAGGAATACACACAGACAGAATATTGTATACATAATAAATAGATAGATAGATAGATATTTTTTTTGAAAAAAGGAAAAAAAAAAGAAAAAATGGTCTCAGAAGACAAAGGGGCGTGTCCCTGAGTGGCTTTGACTCCCTAAGAGACAGTGGCTACCAGTTCACAGAAATACCATTTCTCCCTTAAAGAACGCATCTTCACTAAAGCAGCATCATTTGTAATTTTGGTTTGTGTGGTACACTGTGGACTTCTGGGTAATGTTGTCTGGTGTCTTGATCTTTCTTAGTTGAACTATTAGCATACAAAGTTGAACAGGAAAAGTGCATAGCAAACGACTTACAGAAAACCTTGAGCAAAGAGCAGGAGAAGGCGAGCGATGTCCGGAAACTCCTGATGGTGGAACAGAGTGCAGTACAGGATCTGAAGTCGGAGCTGCATGCATGTAAGCAGGAGAACACACGGCTGTTGGAGTCCCTGGACAAGGTGCAGCAGGAAGTCCTGCGGCTCAGGTATGGCCATGCGACGTGACTGTTGATAGAGGTCATACAACGGAACTCACCTGCTTTGGCTGGCCAGTGCTGGGGGAGCCCTTGGACTTAGACTTGAGAATAAAGAGAGGGAGCCCTGGCAGAATGCCTCCCCTGCACAGGCCCCATTGCTACCTGTTGTCTCTCTCCCAGAGCCATGCTCGACGGGAAGGAGAATGAACTGAAGGTTGTCCTTGAGGAGCTGGAGTGTGAGCGTGGAAAGGAGCGAGCCCTTCAGGCCCAGCAGGAGGAGCAACAGCTGCGGCACCTGCAGAGGGAGGGCCAGAGCTCAAGGGCCCTGGAGGTGACTGGCTTTCCTATTCCTTATGTGCTTACTCAATACTTCTCCCACACAGTATTTCATCCGTGCCGTCCTGTGCACGGTTTTACTCATAGAATCACTTTTGAAAGTTATGATTCCTGAATGAAAGTATGAATAAGAAAACCATCTAGTTCCTTTTCCTCTTGATACTGATCATCACAATCTTGTTTTCTCTGTCAATATAGGAGTTAAAAATGTCTTTGGAGAAGCAGCGTGCTCAAAATAACCAACTATGCGTTGCTTTAAAACACGAACGTGCAGCCAAGGACAACCTGCAGAAGGAGCTTCAGATTGAGTCCTCCCGCTGTGAAGCCTTGCTGGCGCAGGAGAAGGGCCAGCTCTATGAGCTACAGAAGAGCCTAGAAGCTGAGAGGAGCCGCTCGCTGGAACTTTCAGAGGCCTTACAGCACGAACGACTCTTGACAGAGCAGCTGAGCCGCAACGCGCAGGAGGCCTGTGCCCGCCAAGAGGCACAAGTGCAGCATGCCTTATTGCGGAAGCTGAAAGCAGAGAAGGCGCGTGCTTTGGAACTGGAAGGCATGCTTGAAAAGGTGCAGAGACAGGCTGCACAAGCACAGAAGCAACTGGAATCTCAGGCTCAGGAGCGCTGTCTAGAACTCAGGAAAGAGAAGGAGGTAAGTAGCCACCTGCGATCAGCCGTGGATGCCTTGCAGAGCCACAAACAGGAGCTGGGATGCTGTCTGGAGAGAGAGAGGGAGAAATCAGCTTGGTTACAGGCAGAATTAGAACAGTTATCCACAAGAGTGAAAGAGCAAGAAGGCCGCAAGGATGCGAGGAGGATGGAGAGGAGATCAAGCCAAGCAGACGTGGAAACGAAGATCTGGCAGACAGACAAGGAGAAGCTGGTGAGAGCAATCTTCCAGCAGATATAAGTCATTACAGGTCCTGAATGATGCTGATGCCTCCTCTCTTGGGGCCATCCATCCAGCTTCCCACTGCTGTGTATGATGTTAGTTAGGAAGTTTTGATCACTCCCGTGGAACTAACCACATGTTTATTTTTGTGGATGGTCTTGGTCAGAGACAATTCTCTTAACCCTTGGCTATTCCGTCTTTTCAAATTCGTTTCAAAATGCAAAAGAGTATTAGATATGGGCAGTGGTCTAGATCACAGCTCAGTGGGGAGAGCGTTTTGCCTTGGAAGCAAGCATGAGGCTTGGATTTCTAACTCTGCCCCTTCAAAAAGGCGTTAAAACTTTTGGTAGGTGTGTTTTCGGTGTTTTTTCATGTCTACAGGTTAGTCTTTTACTTTGTGATAGCATGTTATGGTGACTGGCTTACACTGGATGGCCCAGCTGTTCATTCGTTCCTGGATAAGTACCACCTGGGCATGGCAAACAGTGCTGTTGATCTGCTGTTGAACTATGGCGATATTAACATCTGGTGTATTCAGTTAGAATCCTGTTAGAATTTTTGCATCTGTGTTCAGAAGGGACATTAGCCTGTAGTTTTACGTCATCTTTGGGTTTAGATCAGAGTAGTGATGCCTTTATGGGCTGGGAAGTATTCTCCCTCTTACTCATTTTCCCTGAAGTAGGGGCTCTCTGTGTAGCCCTGGCTATCCTGGAGCTTGCTATTTAGACCAGGCTATCATCAGACTCACAGAGATCTGCCTCCCAGTCTAATACTAGCCCTAAGAAGCTGAGGTTAGTAGATCACAAGTTCAAACCCAGTCTTAATATATACAGCAAGGCCCTTTTTGTTTTGGGGATCTTCTTGAGACAAGGTCTCACTATGTAGCATTGGCTGGCCTGGAACTCACTGTTTCTCACAGAGATCCTAGCAAAGCCCTTTGTTTTTGTTTGTTTGTTTCTTTTAGCACAGAAGTGTAGAACCAGCAGCTTTGTCTTTAGTGGTTAAGAAACACTGGTTTCTAAGGACAAAGCTGTACGTTTGTAAATGTTCAGAAGGATAAGTCTGACTAGCAACATTAGCTTTGGAAATGCCTGTCAGGGATGTCCTTAATACTCTACTCTGAGAGGGTTCCCTTCCATGGAGCCCCTAAGCGGTGGGCCGTCTGTGATGTAGAGCTGCATTCCGTCAGAACAATTTAGGACATTTATGAAAAGTGACGACATTCTGGTGGGACTCCATGTTCTTGAGAAGCCACTTGCCTTTCCCCATCCCAGCCCGTCTGACGGCTTGCTCCTCTGTAATACTGTGGCACTGCTCACTTCCATTGTATGAGGCTAGGTCGATGACCGATCAGGTCAGGCTGGAGGCCGCAGGGCCACCACTGGCAGGCGTGATTTGTAATGTGCATGCTGTCGTCATGCTCTGCTGACTTGTGTGTTGGGATGCACAGATGTAAATGAAGTTCGGCTTTTATCAGCCTCTGTGCCAGCAGGCTGCTCTGCTCACTGCCCAAGTGTAGACTGTGCCGTGATGGGCAGGGGGAAGGGTTGCCTGACTGAGTTGAAGGTGGTGGGTGGATTTATTGACAGGATCTGGGGAGAGGACTAATAAGTAGAGTGTGGACACCTTCTCCACGGGTGCTGTGTTTGATCTGTGGGCAGTTTTCCCTGGGACGTTTCCCTACATGACATTGCTGCTCTTTGGTCAGATAATCGTTGAGGACTTGTTTTGAGATGAGTCTTGCTGAGTTGCTCTGGTGGGCCTTTGTTAGACTTACTCTGTACATTTAGCCTAGCCATCAACTCGTGATCCCCCCTGCTTTTACCTCCCAAGTGCCGGCTGTAGGCATGCCCCACTATGCCCAACACCCAACAGTTTCCTTTGGAAAACTGTAATGGTCTTTCCCATTGTTCTTGCTGTTGGGACAGCGAGAGTTAGAATTACAGCGCCAGCGTGATGAGCATAAGATCGAGCAGCTTCAGCGGCTGGTGAGAGAGCTGCGGTGGAAGGAGAAGGTGCCTGGCGGGGATGGCCCTGGCTGGAGCGCCCCCAACTTGGGCTCTCTGGAGCCGAACCATGTCCAGGAGCAGCAGCAGGAGCTGGAGAAGATACGGCAGCAGCTCCTCTGTGCAGCTGGGCTCCTCACAAGCTTCACCAACCACACTGTGGACAGGTATGCATGCATGTATGGTAGTCTGTGGCCACCAGTACCCACCCCCACCCACTCCCCGACTGTTTATACTAAGAAAATTCTGGAGTTTAGCTAATGGCCTGTGCCTGTAATTCCCACACCTGGGAGTTAGAGGCAGAAGGACCACCTTACATAGTAAATTCCAAGCCAACAAGGTATATATATCAAAACTTTTTAAGTGGGGGAAAAAAATAAAGTGTTTGGCAACTTTGATTTCAGGACCATGTCTTAATGTTCTCCCACACAATTCATTCCATGAGTTTAGTTGAATTAATGGGCAAGGTCTTCTGAAGGATGCTGGTAAAACTACATCTTTGCATCCTGTGTTACAATCTTGTTATTTATAGTTTCAAGTTGTGCCGAGATTAGCTTTCCACGTACACTAGACATGGAGAGTCCAGCCCAGGATGCTCCCTCAGCGTGTCCTCCACGTGTCCATGTCCACCATGGTGGGTGCTGTTAGCAGCTGGAATGGCTCCCTGTCCATATCTGGATTCATTTCTCTGAGCAGCATGATTCCCAGCCACTTTCATTTAGACAGCACTTCAATTTTTTATTATTGTATTTATTTATTTTGTGCATGTGTACTTTTGTGGATGAGCACATGGGTGTCAAAGGACAGCTTGTTGGTGTCTGTTGTCTTCGTCCACCAAGTGGATGATCAGACTCAGATGGCCAGGCTTGGCAGCAAGCTCCTTTCTGTGTTGCGGCATCTTACTAGCCAGGAATAACTGTCATTAGTTTTCTGTCCAGCAGGAACCAGTGGGGCGGCGGGATGTGGGCAGTTGGCCGCTACTGCCTGCTCAAGTCTGAAGGGTTCTGAATCTCACAGATGTGTCTGTTTGCTGGTGTAGTCTCTTCCGCCCCGGCCCTCTGGTCGGAAGAGTGCGTCCTAGACCCCTGGTAAAGATTTTGAGTAAAGTGACCCACCAGCCTGACAGACTCACACAGGAGTGCAGATCTGGATGGATCCCTGGGTTTCTCAGAGGAAATGCACAAGTACTTTCCCTCTGTGCCATTAACAGAATTCCTGAACAGCTCAAAAGTGTAATCATTTGGGGTATACACAAACCCTTTGAGCACCTGCTTGATTTCTTAGGACAATTAAAGATTGGACATCATCAAATGAGAAGGCGGTGTCATCTTTAATGCACACTCTTGAGGAACTGAAGTCTGAACTGAGCATGCCTACCTCCTCCAAGGTACAGTTGGGCTCCTCCATGGTGCATGTTTGCGCTGTCTCTACCGTGGCTAAAACCAAGCTGCTAGCACATGGTGTCTTTCGGGAGTTGGTAGAGGATGCCATGGCTTCTTTGTAGCCTGTTTGTTAGCCAGCCGTTCCTTACTCCCTTGTTATGTGGGCAAGTGAGTGACCATTTGCCCCGTGTGTCCTTGTGGGTGCACTATGTACTGTATTCTATATCTTAACATCTTGGGGGCTCAGCTGTGCCATTTGCACATACCGTGTGGTTATCTATTTGGGATGCTCGCTGTCTGTGGCCCAGAAGCACCCTGAGAGGTAGAGACTTTGTGGACAGAAGTGGGTCCTTCTGCTGAGGACAGATGCCTGGAGGGTAGAACCTGCGCACAGCCCAGCCTGTGTCCTGTCTGCTTCTGCTCTAGGCTCCCTGTGAGTAGCCTTTGAGGTTGCTTACGGGTCCTAGATGTCCTCGATGTTGACCCTGTTGCTGACCAATGCGGTGGTTATGGATTATAGCCTGTTACCAGATAATAGAGAAGCTTTATCACTTACTATTACCCTCAAACCCCATCAACCCACCCACCAAGTGTCATAGAGAGATATGGTATGTCCTGTCCCTCTCCTCTATGTGCAAGTTCTAAAGTTTCTCCATTAGGACTCATGGTCCCAATTGTGAAGTGCACAGACTTACTCTATGTGAATTACACGTGTGACCTCTCAGCATGAACAGCAACAATTCCTTATTTTATTCAGCACCTGGGTATGGGACTCAGACTAGTGAGACCAGGGTTACGTTAGTAACAAACCCGGGTCACTTTATATACCAGAATATCTGCAGTCCAGTTTGTGTGGTCTCTTTTATAAAGGGTGAAAAAGAAATGTCATTTAGTAGCCTATTTCCTATCCCATATGCCCAGCCCCACAAGCCTGGTATCAAACTCCAAACTTTCCTAAAACTATAGTCCCTGAAGCAGTTAATAATAATAATAATAAAACACAAAATTCTTACAATTTGTTTGCTCTTTTTCAAGAAAAAGATGGCTGCGGAACTCCAAGTCCAGCTCATGAATGAACTGCTGAGAGAGAACGACGCCCTTACAAAGGCTGTCAGTGTAGCAACCCGAGAGAAAGCAGAGCTGTGCAGGACTGTCTCCCGGCTTGAGAGGACCCTGAAGCACCACACGCAGAAGGGCTGCCTTCTCAATGTAGGGACCTTTGTCTCTTCCTGGCATAGTACCTGCCCACTGTCTCTGTATCACAGTGCTATGTCACATCTGGGCTTCTGCCTAGACCTGGGGCCTCTGTGCCACTTTTCTGGTCAACCCTATGGGCTCCACCCCTTCTAGTGTGTACAGTCTGACTCAGGATTCCAGATCTTGCTATGCTGCCCAGGCTTGTCTCCAACTCCTAGGCTTAAGTATTCTTCCTGACTCAGCTCCCCACAGATACACTCTGCCACACCCAGCTTGATGGGGTTCATTTTGTTTTGATTAATTATTTGAAGGGAGTCAGGGAGTTGAGACAGAATTCCAGGTATCCCAAACTGACTTCAGACTATATAACTATATAACTGCAGCTGACCTTGAACTTTTGATCATCCTGCCTCAACATTCCAAGTGCTGGGGATACAATGATGTGCCATCATGCCCCATGTGCAGTGTTTTGGGGTGTGTGTAAACACATAAGCACACTGCCTGTGTTGCCAGTTCAGGTTGAGGCCAGAAGTCACCATTAAGTATCTCATTTGCTCTCCAGCTTATCCTTTGGAACAAAGTCTAATTGAATCTGGAGCCCACAGTTTCAGTTAGACTGGCTGGCCAGCAAGCCCCAGAAACTCTGCCTCTGCCTTCGCAACACTGAGATTACAGATGTGCCCTGCTGTGCTGCTGTTCTACCCATGGCTGTGTATCCAGTCTTAGGTCCTCGTGTTTGTATGGGCAGCTCTTTACCCAGCTGGAGTCATCTACCCAGCACTTTGTTTCACTTGCTATCTTAACATCAAATTTTCTACTTCAGGCACATGTAGACCTGGCTACATGCAGTGTCCTGTGTAGACCTGACTACTGCGTCGTATTTGTATATGCTCCAAAAAGGGAGCTTAGACTGACCAGGTTAGACCTAAGCTTAACCTAGTCAGCTTAGATTTTATTTGATTCTTTACTAGTGATGCAGTTATAGTTATTTTCTATTTAAGGTTTTCTAGCTGGTAATTTACTTAACTTTTTTATAATGAAAACATAATTTTTTAAAATGTATGTGCAGTAAAGTTTGCTGTTTGTTTTTTTTTTTTTAAGTATTCCCCCTCTTCTGTATTTTTTATTCAGGTTATATGACAGCAAGTTTCTGTATGGCGTCTTTATATTTCCTTTGGTTGCTACTCCTGAACTTCTCTAACACCCCCCCCACACACACACCTGTCTTATCTTCACTCCACTTCCTTCCCAGCTTGAACCTTTCTTCCCGCAGTGCCCCTTTCCTTTCTTCCCGCAGTGACCCTTTCCTTTCTTCCCGCAGTGCCCCTTTCCTTTCTTCCCGCAGTGCCCTTTTCCTTTCTTCCCGCAGTGCCCCTTTCCTTTCTTCCCGTAATGCCTCCTTTCCGTTCTTTTTACCTACATTCTATAGCCTTCCTTGTTTAAGGCAACTTCCCGAGTTCCTTCCTGATTTCCTGACTTCCACAGGTACTCTGTATTAAACAATTAACTAAAGAGTTGGAGCTAGAATCCACATACGACAGAACATATTGCGCTTGTTCTCTGGCCTGGGCTGCCTTTGCCTCACTTAGCACACTTTCTTCCAGTTCTGTCTATTTCCCTGCAAACTTCATAATTTCACTCTTCTTTAAAGCCGAATAAAATTCATTGTGTATGTGTATCACACTCCCGTTATCTGCTCATCAGTTGATGGGCACCTGGCCATTTGCCAGCTGTTGTGACTCGAGCAGCAGTGAACGTGGATGTGCAGGATTCTGTAGAATACGAACGCCAGGAGTGGTATAGCTGGGGCAACTGGTATTTTTAGTTTTTTAAAAAACCTCCACACTGGTCAGGTAGTGCTAGTGCACGCCGTTAATCCCAGTCTACAGAGTGAGACCTAACACAGCCAGGGATACACAGAGAAATCCTGTCAAGAAAAAAAAAGAAAAACCAAACCCTCCACGCTGATGCTAAAGTAGCTGTACTGGTGTCCACGCCCACCACCGCTGTTTATAGAAATGAATAATCTCAATGTCACACAAAGGAACAAAGTGAAAGTATTTTGGCAAGGTGGTTTCTCTTTTTGTAAAAAGGATATGTTTGCCAGAATCCAAACTGGGCTAGTAAACACTTTAGCCAAAATGTATCTGTCTTTCATCCTTAATGTAGGTGTTAACTGTGTCTCACCCCATTGGTGAGTTCATCTTCACAGTCTGACACACTTGGCTAATCGGTATGCAGAGTGGAAAGGGAGGCCCTTGTTGGGCTAACTATTGATAGAAAGGAACCAAACAAATAAAACTTCTCACATTGTTGCCCTCAGCTGGGCTTTCCTTCAGTGTGGTTTGATGGCACTAGAACAGAACTATGTGACTATGTTGGTTAGCCATCGGCATTTCTAGAATGCGGAATTATTTTTTTAAGATTTATTTATTATGTATGCAGCATCTACCTGCATGTATCCCTGCAGGCCAGAAGTGGGCACCAGATCGTATTACAAATGGTTTTGAGTCACCATGTGGTTGCTGGGAATTGAACTCAGAACCTCTGAAAAATAGTCAGTGCTCTTACCCTCTAAGCCATCTCTTAGCCCAAATGAGGAACTATTAAGACTCGTTAAGATTTAAAGCTTTGAATTAGTAGGTATTTTGCAGATATCTCTGGCTTGTTCTTATTAACATGTATCTTTTGTGCAATGATATTTCAGTAAATGAATGATAATTACCCGGAAGTGCTAGCTTTATAACATGGCTGGAGCACTACAGAAAATGATGCGCAGTGTGGCAAGGGACAACACTTGGTGTGTGATCACCGGATCCTGGCCTTGGAGAGGCATTTTCCCAGCCCTGCTCTCTCCTCTGTGATAGGCCACCCCACAGCAGTCCTTGGCTGTGGCAAAAATGAGGTGTTGGAGTGTGACCCTTTCCTTCAGATTACCAGCTGCTGCCGTCTCCTCTGTCATTCTCTAGCTTGCCTTTCTCAGGGTGTTCGTCCGTCCGTCCGTCCTTCCTTCCTCCCCCCCCCCCCATGCGGGACAGTGCCTGAGAGCGTATTTCATCCCCTGGAACTGAAGTTACAGTTATGAGCCGTTCAAAACGTGTGTGGGAATTGAATTCTAGTCGTCTGGAAAAGCAGCAAGCACATTCTTAACTACTGAGCCATCTCTTCAAACTCTCTTATTTATTTTTTTTTATTTTATTGATACTTTTTGAGCTCTACATTTTTCTCTGCTCCCCTCCCTGCTTCTCCCCTTTCCCCTTTAATCTTCCTTCAATGTCCCCATGCTCCCAATTTACTCAGGAGATCTTGTCTTTTTATACTTTCTACTTCCCATGTAGATTAGATCTATGTAAGTCTCTCTTAGTGTCCACATTGTTGTATAAGTTCTCTGGGATTGTGGTTTGTAGGCTGGCTTTCTTTGCTTTATGTTTAAAAAACATCTATGAGTGAGTACATGTGATAATTGTTTTTCTGGGTCTGGGTTACCTCACTCAAAATAATGTTTTCTAATTCCATCCCTATTCCTGAAAATTAAAACTGTCGTTATTTTTTTTTTCTACTGTGTAGTACTTCATAGTACTTGTATAAATGTACCACATTTTCCTTATCCATTCTTCAATCGAGGGGCATTTAGGTTGTTTCCAGGTTCTGGCTATGACAAACAAAGCTGCTGTGAACATAGTTGAGCACATGTCCTTGTGGCACGATTGAGCATCCTTTGGATATATACCCAAAAGTGGTATTACTGGGTCTTGAGGAAGGTTGTTTCCTAATTTTCTGAGAAATTGCCACACTGACATCCAAAGGGGTTGTACCAGCTTGCATTCCCACCAGCAATGCAGGAGCGTTCCCTTTTCCCCACAACCTCTCCAGTATAAGTTGTCATTAGTGTTTTTGATCTTGGCAGTTCTTACAGGTGTAAGATGGAATCTCAGAGTTGTTTTGATATGCATTTCTCTGATGACTAAGGATCATGAACATTTCCTTAAGTGTCTTTCAGCCATTTTAGATTCCTCTGTTGAGAGTTCTCTGTTTAGGTCTGTATTCCATTTTTTTTTTATTGGATTATGTGATCTTTTGGTGTCCATTTTCTTGAGTTCTTTGTATATTTTGGAGATTAGACCTCTGTCTGATGTGGGGTTAGTGAAGATCTTTTCCCATTCTGTAGGCTGTCGTTTTGTCTTGTTGACCGTGTCCTTTGCTTTGCAGAAGCTTTTCAGTTTCAGGAAGTCCCATTAATTAATTGTTTCTCTCAGTGTCTGTGCTGCTGGGGTTATATTTAGGAAGTGGTTCCCTATGCCAATGCGTTCAAGTGTACTTCCCACTTTCTCTTCTATAAGGTTCAGTGTGGCTGGCTTTATCTTGAGGTCTTTGATCCATTTGGATTTGAGTTTTGTGCATGGTGATAGATATGGGTCTATTTTCATTCTTCTACATGTTGATATCCAGTTATGCCAGCACCATTTGTTAAATATGCTTTCTTTTTTCCATTTGATATTTTTTGCTTCTTTATCAAAGATCAGGTGTTTGAAGATGTGTAGATTGATATCCGGGTCTTCTATTTGGTTCCATTGATCCTCCTGTCTGTTCTTATGCCAGTAGGGTATTCTTTCTTAAGAACACCTTGGTATTGGCTGGGGAGGTGGCTCAGTTAGTGAAGTGCTTGCTATGCAGATGTGAGATCCTGAGCTTTGTCCCCAGCCTGTTGTGAGCTGCTGCATGGTGACACACACCTCTCTTCCCAACGCTCAGTAGGCAGAGGCAGGCAGTTTTGAGACCAGTCGGGTCTGCATATCATGTTCCGGGCTAGCAAAAGCTGCATAGTGAGACCGTGTCTCAAAACCAACAAACAAAAGACAGGTTATGGTGGCTCATGTGCCTGTAATCCCTGTGCTGGGGGAGCGGACACTGGTGGGTCTCTGGGGCTAACTGGCCACCTAGCCTAGCCTACTTTGTAGACCCCAGGCCCCATTGAGAGACCCTGTCCTTTAAAAAACAGCTGATAGCTCCTCAGGACCAACACCTAAGGTTTGCTTGTGACCTACACCTGTAGGCAAACCCCTGCAACCCTCTCCCATCGAAAAGCAAAGCTCTATATTGCCAGCTGTGTGTTTATTTGTTTGTTTGTTTGTTTTTTACAGAGGCAAAGCAAGTCTTCATGGAAGCAAGACGGGACGGTTTTGCAGGGTTCTCCACGACAATCAGATCCAGAGTGGCACACACCCACTGCAAGTGTGGAAGCAAGTTCCTGCAATACCAAGGTGAGCCATGCAGGGTTGGGTTCGGAGTGTCAACGTGTCTTAAACCAGGGCTAGTTAACTGCCGGAAAAGGGTCTTGACTACAAGGTTCTTGTTTGCTTGGTATGTCTGTTGACACACAGATCAGAAATACTTCATAGGAGACCCATTGCCCTCATTCTCAGATCACTGTGGGAAAGGAAGCTAGCTCAAACTGGATCTAAAACTTGGTGTGCTTGTGGGCAGATACCATGTTTTGCCGTTCATGGCTGAATAAATATGTAATGCTCTTGTCGTCAGGAGACTTTCTATTGGCTAAGAAAAGTTTTCCTATGATTTGCTCCCAAGGGAAGAGTGCTTCTCAGTGTTTGGATCCAAGCTCTATAGTTTTACATGGTTTTCCCCATCACCCGTATCATCTGTGGACCCCCTCATGATATCCCTCACACACACACCCCCACACACACCCACACACACATAGCCACTTTAGATTGTACTTGAGTGGAAATCCAGTCTTCATGGGGGCTCACTGGAGAGTGTTGTGGAGAAGGTGTTCTTTTTTCTAGATTTTATCTGATAGGCGGGGGCTCTTGAAGAGGAAGTTACAGCTGTGCCTGGGATTTGTCTGTCAGGACTGTGTCTTTGTTTTCTCTGACTTTCACTCTGTCTTCTCTTAGATGGAAAAACTGTACCTGCACTATCTAAGGGCAGAGAGCTTCAGAAAAGCTCTGATTTATCAAAAGAAATACCTCCTGCTGCTGATTGGTGGATTCCAGGACTCGGAACAGGAAACGCTTTCCATGATCGCCCATTTAGGGGTGTTTCCCTCCAAAGCAGATAAGAAAATGACGACATCACGTCCTTTTACAAAGTTCCGCACTGCCGTGAGGGTTGTCATCGCAGTATTAAGGTGAATGCCCTGCCTCCAAGCCAGCTAGCAGTGCACACCTGCTCGCTTCTGTGGTGGCTGTATTCCTTGAAACTACAGTGTTTTTCTCTTTCAAGATCAATGTCTGAAGAAGTCATGCTGTAGGGGCTGGAGAGACGGCTCTCAGAACCCCCATGGTCATTCACAACCATTTGTCACCCTAGCTCCTGTGGATCCCATGCTTTCTCCTGACCTCCATGGCGTTAGGCATGCATTTGGTGCACATACATAGATGCAGGCAAAATATACATACAAATAAATAAGCGAATTCATGCGGTGCCTGGGTTTGGTGCCATAGGCCTGTCAGTCATCCCAGCACTCAGGAGGCAGAGACAGGGATTGAAAGTTCTAGCCTAGCCTGAGCTATATATGACACCCAGTGTTAGAATGCCTGAGAAAAGTTTCCAGGGCCTGGTGGTCTCTTTTGGAATAATCTATGGTTTGCCACACCACAAAGAGGAAAGTTACAGTTGTGCCATTAGGAGAACCATGCTGAAAGGAGCGGGAAGCAGCCTTGTCCTGTCGCCCTGCCTGTGCCTTGACTCCTGGTGCTGTCCTGTTGATGACCCAGCCAGGCAGAAGCACTGTGTTTTGCCAGTTTCTGGTGACTCATACAGGCTGGAATTTTGTGTGATAGGCTGCAGGTAAGCTGTGGTGGGTGTGGCCAGAACCAGCTTGTTGTCAACCGTGAGGTGCCAGGGGACTTTTTTGTTGTTGTTTGTTTGTTTTTCAAGACAAAATTTCTCTGTTGTCCTGGAACTTGCTCTATAGACCAGGGACCAGGCTGACCTTGAACTCACAGATCTGCCTGCCTCTGCCTCTTGAGCGCTGGGATTAAAGGTGTGCCACCACTGCCCGGCAACCGGGGGACTTCTTTAGATGGTGACGTAGCATGGAAAGTTCCTTGTAGGAGGAGGCCACTTGTTCATCCTGGCCACCCAGAACTGAAATAATCACACAAAAATTGTATTAATTAAAACATTGCTTGGCCCATTAGCTCTATCTTCTTACTGGCTAACTCTTAGATTAATTTAACCCATTTCTATTTATTTGTATGTCACCACATGGTGGTGGCTTACCCACAAAGATTCAGCATGTCTGATTCTTGGTGGCTCCATGGTATCCCTCTGACTCTGCCCTCTTTCTCCCAGCATTCAGTTCAGTTCTCCCCGCCTACCTAAGTTCTGCCCTATGAACAGGCCAAGGCAGTTTCTTTATTCATTAATGGTAATCATAGCACACAGTTCCTACATGATAAGAAAGTACAGCTAGCTCTCAGCTGACTTGGTGTGGAGTCCGTCTCTCCTGTGGGCAGGGAGGGCAAGCTCTGGTGGTTTGGTCACATCAGGTGCATCACTGTTTCCTCATTCCCGTTTTCTCTTGCTTTAAATGTATTTTGTCACCTTTCTGTATAGGTTGCGATTTTTGGTTAAGAAATGGCAAGAAGTGGATCGGAAAGGAGTGCTGATCCATTACAGAAGCCGCCAAGGTGGGCCTCAGGTGCCACTGCCTTTCCTGCTGCTGTGGCATTTCCTTGAGCGTTTGGTTTGTGGGTGTCGTAAAGCACAGGACGAAAGCCAGGAAACCATCGGTGCAGCTACCCTTGAGTAGGGAGGGCACTGGCGGACCGGATCGGTCAGGAAGGCGAGCTGAGCGCGATTCTGGAGAGTCGGACAGACTCGCCCTTGCTGCTCTCCAGAGTCACCCAGAATTCTGCTTTACACGGCCGTGCTTGTCTGTGTGAGCCCTCGTGGTTGTTTTAGCTATCTCTGGAGCTCACTCATAGGTAGTGTAACAGTGGCTTCGTGGACTCTCAAGGGGCCGGTGACAGTACTTTGCTGGGTCTTTGTGTAGTCTCTAGGGGTGGCAGATGTGAATGTCCTTCCTACTTAGAGAACATAGAGGGCCTAGGCCCTCTGGGCCACTAAGCCACCACTAGCTGCCATCTTGACAGTGCCTTCAATTCAGGCCAGCCGGCATGCTTGCCTCTTCTTCCCCCCTGCCATGGGCTGCCCATGCAGTGCTGGCAATCAGAGCTAGCGTATCCATGTAATTGTAAAAGTTGTTTGTATAAGCTTAGATTTTTGGTAGATGGGTCCCCCTAGAATGTGTATTTCTTTTTCTAATGATTTTTTGTTTGATCATTCTTGGGAAGGACATCGAATGTCCCGGAGACAGCATTCTCCATCAGAAACAAGAACATCCCTGCCAACCAGAGAAGTTTCCTCAGGCCATATCAAGGACTCTAGGCACAGCCCCCGATCCTCGGCAGCATTCTTGCTGGGCAAGGAGGAAAGGTCAGTTGGGATGCTCCAGGGTTCCCTAGAAATCATGTCAATGAGATCCAGAACCTGTTTAGCTGCCTAGAGAAATGTGGCTTGCACCTTCTGTCTTTGTTCTGGCTCAGAGCAAGGCAGCGGATGCATCAGAGAGCTTCCAAGAGCCTCCAAGAGCCTGGGGGTCTTGTTCTGTTCAGGAAGGGCTCAGATTCCCTGTGTTCGCTAAGTGAGGCACACTCTCCACTCTGAACAGGTTTGGAAACTTGTCTCATGGAAAGGGACACAGTGTCCCTGGGGACACTGGGGCCTAGGAGGAAGGATGATCAGGATGGGAATTAGACAAGGTTAGGTTTTGCTCAGGGAAGTGTAGGCCAATAGGTAGACCATCTTGGTCACCTGGTGAAGGATGCTGAGACAGAATCCAATTGGGATAAAAGGTATAATCTCAAAATTTGGTGAATGAAATAATGCATAATTGTTGTAATTGTTGCCACTCATTCTGACTGCAAAGTGTGATATAGAAGTTGTTTCATTTCGTTTTCTGTGTTTGTTTTATTTTGAGACAGAGTCTTATACTATGTAACTCTAACTGCTCTGGAGCTTACTGTATAGCCCAGACTAGCCCTGAACTCACAGAGTTCCGCCCTCTTACTTTTGTCTCCCATATCCTGGGATTACAGGAGTATACCACTGTACTGTACCGTAAAAGTTGATTTTTTTTTTCCCCAAATAAAAACATGTTTTCTTTTTTTTTTTTTTTAGTAAATTTTATTAAATTATAAAAGTTTCCATTTCCACCCCCCCTCCCAACACCCTCCCACTCCCCCTACTCCCCCTCCTCCTCCCTCTTCGTCCCCCAGGGCAGTCAGGGTTTCCTGCCCTGTGGGAAGTTCCAGTTCCTTCCCCCTCCCTCCAGGTCCAGGAAGGTGAGTGTCCAAACAGACTGGATCCCCAAAATCCATTATATGTAGAGGAAACAGGTCCCAGTGTCATAGTCAATGGCTTTTCAGAAAGACTTCGGGTCAGCCACAGTCAGAGAATCCGGCCAAATTCGGAGAGTCTGGTTAGATCACGTCCTCTTTCAGTCCCAGTCCAACTGGCCTTGGTAAACTCTCATCAGATCCGTTCCCTTGTATCAGTGGGTGATAGCATCCCTCGCAGTACTGATTTCGTTTTTCACGTTCTTCCTCCTTCTGCTCCTCATTTGGACCTCGGGGGGCTCAGTCCGGTGCTGCAATATGGGTCACCGACTGTATCGCCGTCCTTCGTCAGATGCAGGATCACTCGGGAAGGCCCTCTGGATGGAAGCTGGGATGGCTGGCAGGAAGCTAGCAGGGTGGAGCCAGCAGGGCAGGCTGACCTGGGAGTCTATGGGGTCGGGGAAAGTCCTAGCTCCCCCTCGCCGGGCCCCTGCCGTGGCCCGAATCAACTCACCACTCGGAAGGCCCTCTGGATGGAAGCTCAACATGTTTTCTTTGTGGTATATAATGGAGATGAAGAGACTAGCCCTAGTGGAGACCCGTCCCACATCTGGCCAGCTGATCCCAGGCCCTCTATGTGCTTTTGATGTAACACCACCTGTTAATTTAATGTTTTTGTTTTGTTTTTTTTTCTCCCTTTCTTTTCTCCTTGCTATGGTTCTTTGTTTGCAGATCAACTTCCTCACCAAATTCAAGGTTAGAAAGATCCCTGGCTGCTTCTCAAGATCCAGAACATTCCTTGACAGAATATATTCATCATTTAGAAATGATCCAGCAAAGACTTGGGGGGTTACCACCAGGTAAAAAAATACTTGTTAAAATAGTATTACTATACCTTAGAAACATAACAACATAGAAAAACCTGCTAGTAAGTTGGTACAGTAGTACTCATGAGTAATCCTAGCCCTAAACAGGCTTTGGCAGGAGGGTTGCCAACAGTTTGAAGCCAGACTGGTCCACACAGGGAGTATTAGGCTACCCAGGGTGACAGAGCAATGTGCTGCCTCAAAACAAAACAAAAATCTGTTAGTATCAGCTTAGTAATTTTTAGTTTGGGTGAGTACATACAATACATATGCCCTTAGCAGCTTGTGGTGGGTAACTCTGGTTCAGTCGCTAGGTGGACTTTTTGTCCTCTTACACTGGTAGGGAATGTAAAGACAAGTATATTGATTACTGTGCCATCACTGTGATCGAGCATCTGAGAAGAAGCGGTTGGCAGGGAGGGCACGGCAGAAAGAAAGGCTCGTGCGACTTTGTGTCGCTCCTTGTTGAGATTCAGGCGGATCGGAAAGTGGAGCAAGGGCAGGCAGCTGGCGGGCTGGAGAACTTCAAGGCCTGCCCCAGTGACCCACTTCGTCAGCACCGCCAACTGAGAACCTAGTGCTTACCATGTGGTGCTGTGGGAGAAACCCATGACCCGGCTCGTGGTCATCTCTTAATGCAAAACCAAGTCCACCTTTAGAAGTCTCCGAGGTCCTAAGACTTTTAAAAGTTCAAAGTCTTCTCTTACTAGATTTGTCCATTAAGCTCTGCTTACAGCATTCTACTCTTGCAGACAAAGGGTTTGGCCAGTGGCCTTGCCAGTCGCACAGCCATGGTTTTCACAGCAAGGGCCCCATGCTCTAGCACCAATTCTCTGTGTTAGAAAATTGGTCACTGACCAAATATCCTGATAAGAGGCAACTCATGGACAGTTTGCTTTGGAAACAGTCAATCATGGCAGGTGTGCCTGCTGCCTGGAGCACCTTGTGGTGGGAGCAGGAGTGTGTGGCTGCTCGCATGTTTGTTCAGATTGGGAAGCAGAGAAGGGACAGGAAGTGAAGACAGGCTGTCCAATCTCACTTCCTGCTTCCAGTAAACTACCTCCTCCAGCAAGGCTTCATCTCGTAAATGTTGCACACTCTCCTAAACCTGTCCCTGCCTGAGACTGAGTATTAAGACATATGGTCTTGAGAAGGATATTTTACATTCCAGTCATTACCAGTTATGTTTTGCTCTGTATATAATTTATGTAATAGTTTCTTAAACCTAATCTATTTTCATTATACCTCAATATTTTTCCCAAACCTCTGAGGTGGTGGTGTTTTGAAATTATTAAAAATTAAAAATTCTTAACAGAAGTTTTATAACAAATTTCTATTCTGCTTTAATTTTAGATTCTTCTCAGAAATCCTGCCACCAGAAGATTAAACAATGAATAAAGTCTTGTGGCTCTTAACCTGTGATAGTTGTGTCTGAGGAGAGATGGTTTTCCCAAGGAAAGCTCATGGTATGGTCTGGGACACTGCAGGAGTCATGATACCAGCCCGTAGCAACCGCCGAGTGTTTCCAACTCAGCACACTGCTAAACGGAGCACTTTTGGCTCCTTCCCTCCTCCCAGTGAGCAATGGCTGTGTTGTACTCTGTGCCTATTGACAGAGCCATCTGCCTCTTCCGTGTCAGAAGTGCAGAGTGGTTCCAGTTGTTTATTTTCTTAACGTATGAGGATGGAAAGTTCATTTGAAAATGAGCACATAGGAAGGGAAGAATAAAGTTTAAGTATTGTTCTCTTATGTGTGGTCTTGTGGGTTTTTTTAGTTCATTTTTTTTTTTTTTAGTTCATTCAGTTAACTCTTGGGTGTCAAACTTGTTTCTCATGGCTGTATAAGAGTGTCAAACTTGTTTTTCATGGCTGTGTGTGTGTGTGTGTGTGTGTGTGTGTGTGTGTGTATGTACCACTTTCTTTTCTGGGACCCTTCACCCAGAAATGAGTAGAAAGTCAGGTATATGTGTAAGTGTGTCACACAAACAGCTGCATATATATGGATTCAGTGAAATGGCAAAGTCTTTTTGAAACAGTAAATATAGTTAGTGGATATAGTGTTTAAAGTTTTTCATAATATAAGAGGGGCAGAATTCATCATGATCAATTAAAGTTCGCCCAGAAATACTTTAGTCAAATATGTGATGTTTTATTAGTCACAGCCCAGGTTAGACAACAAAGCATTTCTGGTGTTTTCAAAGGGAATTTAATGTGTTTGGTTACTCTGATTTAGAAGGGCTGAGACAAATGGACAAGGTAAAGCAACCCAGAGATGAGCTACCATACTGAAGCTCGAGGAACAACTACACTGTTCTTAAGGCTCTTAAGTCCCCTGTGGTAAAAAGATAAACCCTAATGAGGCACATCAGTTGTCAGAGATACACATATAATACATGTGTGCACGTGTGTGTGCATGCATACACACACTCCTACCTGTGAGTGAACAGGTTTTTTTACTTTTTCCTTCCTTAAGTGCCTGGGCAGTGTCCTTGAAGCAGTTACCACAAGAGCATACCCTCCGGCCATTCTGGATTTGTTCTTGCTTTCCTCCCCCATTTAATTACTGAAATAGAATTTAATGCAATTGCCTGATGTAAGATATTTTCCATTAGAAGATGCTTTATCTTCTGGGAGGCTGGTAAGGTTCATGTTCAGTAGTCTAGGGTGCCCAGGTGTCACACAGATCTCTTCAGGACTGAGGCCGGCTCTGAGATCTGGCAACAACTAATTTTTAAGGCCAGTGTGCTGCCAACACATAAAATAGAAGAGGAGGTGTAGGTGGGGTTTTTCTTCAGGAATGCTGGTCAGCTTTGTCCCTCCAGCCACTCCCAAATAACCACACAGAAACTTGTTAATTATAAACACTGGACTGATAGCTTAGGCATATTATTAACTAGCTCTTATATTTTTAATTAACCTGTATTTCTTATCTACACTCTACCACGTGGTTGTACCTTTTCTCAACATGGCATGTTCATCTTCTGTGTCTTGCTGACTCTACCTTCCACTTCAAGCTCTCTTTTTGTCTGCAAGTCCCACCTAACTTTTTTCTGCCTAACTAATTGCCAGTCAGCTCTTTATTAACCAGTGAAAGTAATACACATTTACAGTACCAAAAGCTTGTTCCACAGAAGGTGAGCAGTAGGAAGCAAAACTTATTCCCATCTTTATTCTCCAGGTTCCCAGGTCTGTATTCCTGTGGGAGAAATGACAACATAAATTGTTCACTCAGAGCATATTTAATCACTGCTTGGCCCATTAGCTCTAGCTTCTTATTGGCTAACTCTTACATTTTAGTTTTACCCATTTCTATTAATCTGTATATCGCCACGAGGTTGTGGCCTACCAGAAAAGTTCCAGTCTGTCTCTGGCAGCAGTGGCTCCATGGTGTCCCCTGACTCCGCCCTTCTTCCTCCCAGCATTTAATTTCGTCTTCTCCGCCTACCTAAGTTCTGCCCTATCAACAGGCAGTTTTCTTTATCCATTAACCTTAAAGCAATACACAGACAGAAGGACCTCTCACACCAATTCTTGGCATTTTAATCAGTCATAAGTCTCTTGAGTAAATTCGAGTTTTCTTACTATCGGGACAGACAATAACAGTACTCAAAGGCAATTTGGTAGGCATATTACAGCCATTTAATAGAAGAGCAATTGCTTCTCCACTGGGACCTGGGACCTATTTTGTTGCAGATCTCTGTCCAGGTTTACAGTGCCCCGTGTGAATTTCCTCTGGAGAAGGCTTTAAATCCAACCAGAAGGTTGTTTACTGTACCCATAGCTGTTGTGCTGCCATTTCTCCCACAGTCCAATGACCTGGTGTGTTGGTAGGGGAGTGGACAGTGTGTGCAACCAAATAGGTGTAAGCCCACTGCCAACAGTTCTGCCTCAGCAGCCTGTGTGAAGTTTTTATGTAATTGGCCCAATCATCTCATTGGAAGTGGAACAGTAAGGAGGTGTGGGCTTGCTGGAGGAAGTGTGTCACTGTAGGGGTGGGCTTTAAGGTTTCCTATGTTCAAGCTACAGCCTAGTATCACAGTCTATTTCCTGTTGTCTGATACCAACATGTTGCAGCTCCTCTAGTGCCATGTCTGCTTACATGCCACCGTGCTCCCTGCCATGGTGATAATGGATTAAGCCTCTGAAACTGTAAGCTGCCACTTCAAATGTTCTCTTTTATAAGAGTTGCAGTAGTCATGGTGTCTCTTCACAGCAATAAAAACCCCAAGACAGCCTGTGTAGTATCTTGCAAGCACTTTAAAAACTTAGCTGAGCATAGAGGGGCCTTCCAGTGCAGTTCTGGCATGAATTATCTATGTACTATAACAAAAGCAAATGGTGTCTTTAGCAGCAGGGATTTACTAATCTAGTTCTGATATGCAGCCAACTTTAGAGGTGATAGCCTTTATCCAGGGGTCTTCCTAGATATAGCAATGGTTCATCCCCAGCTACTAGGGATTAACAACTGTGTGGCTTCTGGGGGAGTATAGGTGCTGTCTTCCAAATCCTTTAACTTGTTTAGATGCCTTTACAAATCTCTAAGACATTCAGAAACCAGTACTATGTCATCCGTGTAATCAAGAGCCACTGCTATCCATTCCAGGCAAGTGCCAGCAGGTCTCACAAGTTGGCAGTTAAGAGGTTGCTGAAGAAAGCTGTTAGCAAAGCCCAATACTACGTGGAAAGAGAGCATTGCTTATATCCGTGGTCTCAGAAGAGCAGTGGTAGGGACAAGGGGCACGTATGGGAGGTACTTTCCTACTTAGTGCTCTATCATCCATAATCATTTTCTACAAACCCTTCTGCCTTCTCATCCTGGGGCACTGCATGGGCAACATTTCACCTGCCCACACCCAGTGGAGCCAGCTGAAGCTGCTTAGCAGTAGGAGGGTGTGGCTACCTACACCCGCTGCTCAGGAGCCTGACATACTCTGGGCTGGCACTGCACTCTGGCTGCTGCCTCCCTCAGCCCCACCTGACTGCCGAGAGGTCCTCAAGCTGGATAAATAATGTCTCCCCTCAGCATACATGCTTCCCCACTCCCGCCCTAATCTGAGGATTATCCTCAAGGGTAGCTGCCCACCAATGAGACACGTTTAATATCTTCTACCTACACCCTTTTGGTCATTTATGCTGTCCGTGAATTGTTCTCACACTAAAGCCTTATAGGTGCTCACTGGCATAGCATTTGGCTTTGTATCTCTGCTCCCGCTACAAGAATTTCAGCTTGCCAGGCCTGGCAGTGCACACCTTTAATCCCAGTACTCAGGAGGAGGAGGCAGGCAGATCTCTGTGAGTTCAGGGTCTTCCTGGTCTACATAGTAAGTTGCAGAACTACACAGAGAGATCCTGGCTCAAATAAACAAAAAATTGCAGCTCAACACAAAGCTTGTCATATTTGATTTTGAGCGACCTGAATAAGACCCCTTTGCTTTTCCTCTGTTGCTTGCTTTAGCACTCTGTGAATTGGCTTATATCCTGGTCTCAGTCACTCAGATCCACCAGAGCGTCCTGTTCTTTTTATAGGTCAGGCTCTATCTTGGGGTCCAGAAAGATCACTAGGGTGCTTTACCAGTTCAGGGATGCCTACTGAATCAACTCCCCCTCCCCCGCCCCGCTCCTATGACACAGTCCTCTCAGACCCAGTGAGCTGAGTGCCAAACACTACATCTTCCATTCTGCATTCCCTTTGTAATGCCTGTCCCACCTCTATTGTCATCCAGGTCCCAACTGTAGGCAGATTTTTCTTCGGGCCACCAGCTCAGACTTATTTTTAATTATAAAAGCTTGGCCTATAGCTTAGTCTCATCCCACTACTCTTAGAACTGAAATTAACCCATTTCTATCTATTTATGTATTGCCATATGACTCATGGCTTTTACCTCTCCTGCATGTCTTGCTCCCTCTGCATCCGACTGGCGATTCCCCCTTCCCAGAGCTCTCTCCATCCAGAAGTCCCTACTGTACCTCCTTCCTAGCTATTGGCCATTTAGCTTTTTATTAAACCAATCACAGTGACATATCTTTACATGGTGTAATTAAATATCTCACAAAACCTCATATTCATGAAGACCTCAACCAAGTGTCCCTAATGGCCTATTTGAGCCAAACCACCAGGATTTCTGTTTTCTCATGTGATACATCATCTGTCTTTAGGAGGGATATGTAGTTACAGTCCTCAATTCCTGCACCTTCACATCACTCAGACGAATCCCATCTGCTCCCTTGGTTTCCAAGCTGGGCTGGGAGAGGGTCTTTCACTTGCTGCTCAAAATGTTTCCCACTCAAGCAATTCAAATGCAGTCTGCTCTCTCTTGTGGTTTCATTCACCGAGCTATGCCGAATCATGGATTTTGTCCTCTCTGTGTTAAAGGTCAAATATGAATGCATCTTCTCTTTCTTTAGCCTCATTTTCCTTCTCATCCATACCTGACTTTTCCTGTGAGTTCCAAATGTCTGGATCCCAGGAGTTGCTCTCTGACACAGATAAAATTTGTGCTTGTCTCCCTTTTGGTGTCCCAGCCATTATAGAGAAAGCTAACACCACTATATTCACCTGTTATCCAATTGTCCTAAAATCCTTGTCTATGGCGTGTCAAGGTCTTGGCTACACCTGAGTGGCGGTTTCTAAGAAGAAGCCCTCAGGCTTCTGGCAGTGTCAGGCTGTGTCTCCTGCTGCTTCTGATGGCAGGGAGGGCAAGGTGTGGTAAATTTCTTACTTTGGGGTGTCCTGGAGCACCCCTGATCCATTAGGATACAGCCAGCCTTTGAGCTCTCCCAGGGTCTTTCTCTGAAGCAACTGTGTATCGCCAGCTTCCAGCACCTTCTCTGTGTTACCCATCTGACTGATCAATCCTAATGTAAAGTTCTTGACACATAAAGGAGTTCGTTGCCAGGGTATCGAGGCTCATCTTGGAAGATTCCTTCTACGACAGTGGACTCTACTGCCCAAGTTTATGCTCTTGCTTGCTTCGTTAAACAGTCCCATAACCCAACTTCACTCAGTCCTTCTCGGCTCCTACCAGTATATACATGTTATCTGTGTGTTATGATTTATGGTTTGAACTATACTGCCACTCCAACCAAAGGGATATTTCAGTCCTAATTTCAAATGCCTATGTATATGACCTTATTTGAAATTGGGTCTTTGCAGATGATCAAGTTAACCTGAGCTAATTAGCGTGTTCTCATTCTAGGTATGAATGGTGTCTGCTGACAGTTGGACACACTACCACATAAGATGTGGACACAAGGGCAGAGAGAGTGGGACAAGGCAAGAAACATCAAATATTAGCAGTAGCCACCAGAGGCTGGGAAGCAGCTATGGAACAGATTGTCCATTGCAGGCCCAGATGGAACCAACCCTGTCCCAACACCTTGATCTTAGACTTCTGGCCTCCAGAATTCTGGTATGGTAAACCGTCTATTGAACTGGCTCGGTTTCCAGTACTTTGCTACTGTTGTGCTAGCGACTGAAATACACAGCTTTTTGGAGGGGGAAGTGGGACTAATAGAGTCACTTTTCATATCATTATGTTTACCTGCTTACACTCAGAAGTAACCATAATTCTGTGCCTAGTATCCAGTAGAAATTGAATTGGGTTGGATAGATGGCTCAGTGGTTGGTTAACAGCACTGCCTGCTCTTCCAAAGGTCCTGAGTTCAAGTCCCAGCAACCACATGGTGGCTCACAACCATCTGTAATGAGATCTGGCGCCCTCTTGAGAAAGAGACCTGGTCAATTGTCAACTTAGCCCATGAAAGCCAATATGGATAAGTTCAACAGAACTGCCATATACAGGCTGCCCATTCATCTTCAGCATTGCCAGGGCATAAATTTCATTCATTTCATTTTCATCCAGTAGGTGGGTGTATTAGTAAAGTTTATCTAGAGGAACAGAACCAATAGACTGTATATTGAAAGGGGATTTACTAGAATGATTTATACAATACAGTTATTTGGCCCGTGAAACACTAGCTGCCTGCATGCTGGAGAGACCAAAACCCAATAGTTGCATGAAGCTAAATGCCTCAGCATTCCCAATCTGGTGCTCAAGGCCTGGAGGATTCCTGGACAGTCACTGGCCATTGGTCCATCTTGAAGAAGGACCTAGGTTCTGATGTCAGTAAAGGATGAGAAGAGCTGCAGCAGCAGCAACAGTATGTCTGGGCCACCCACTCTGGAGCAAGATTGTCCTCTCTTGAAAATGCCCTCACAGACTCATTCAGAGGGTGTGTCTCTCAGCTGATTCCAGAGCCTGCCAAGTTGACAATCGAAATCAATCATCACAGTGGCTAAAGGTATGAGGAGGAGTTCCGGGCTTAGTTAGGAAACGAATCTGTGGACAGGCTATAAGGGTATCCAAGCAGTTTAAGGGGTCAAAATCTTTGAAAATATCTACACCGGTGTCTCCAACCTGTGTGTCACAGGCCCAGCTTTTCCCAGCCAAGGTTCCGGACTCGGTTTTAGAAAACCATTTCATTTCAGCATGTGTTTGGAGTTACTCAGGGATATTCCTTCTTGGCTTTTAATCATCCTGCTGCGAAAGACTCTTTTTGTTTGTTTTTTTTGTTTTGGTTTGTTTTAGGCATGCAGTTTCATAGAGTTTGGGCTCCTGATTGCCTGTTGCCTGCTATCAGCTGCCCACTGTTTCCATGGAGTGGGTACCTTCCTTACAGTTACTATGTATGCCTGATAGTTCACCTCCTGTGTATACAGTTTCACTAGCTTCCCTCACGTCTGTCTAAACTGATGACCGAGTCCGCCTCAAACCCTTTTCATTGCTGGCGTTAACTGCAGAGACATGACCTCGCCAGCAATGGATGTGAAGATGGAGTTTGGGGTCTATCTTGTTTATCTGGGATCTGCACCTGTTGTGAAAAGAAGACGGCAGAAAGGGGTAAAATACATGTTTTCTAGGCAAAATTTTGCTCAGTCTGTTGAGGAGCTACAGAGAAAGACAGATTGGGATGCAACTCTCCCTAGAGCAGTGGCTAAATCCTTAAAAATAGATAAACAGGGAGCTGGAGAGATGGCTCAGCAGTTAAAAGTGCTTGCTGCTCTTGAAAAAGTCCCAGCTTTGGTTCCTAACACCAATAAACACCTAACAGTCTTTCTGTTGAAGAGCATCACACACCCTCTCTGGTCTCCTTGGCCATTGCACGCATGTGGTCACAGACATATATGCAGGCAAAGCACTCACCCATTAAATAAACCTTAAAAAATTGTTAAATGCTGTTTAAATGTCTGTTTTGTGTCAGAACTTTTAAGTCTTTATTGTAAACCGTTTTTGTTTCTATGCAAATAAACAAAAGCTGAGGTCTTTGAAGGACAGGTAGATGTGTCCCTCCTGCCTGGCAGCCTGGAGTGAGGGACTGTCAGCTGGGCAGCTGCTTCCCTAGCCACCTGCTGGAGTGCCTTCAAGTCTGGCTGTTTTGCATACATTACAATCATGATGAAAATACTCCAGCAGCAAGATAACCTGCTGCAATTGAATCCGGGATACCTGATCCAGGAAGCCTTGCTCCGGTCACCTTGCTCTGGTCACCCCACTCCAGACAGCCTGCATCAGCTTTGAAGGGCCAAATCCCAGGTGCTTTCTCACCAGCTTCAGGGAACCTGAGCAGCTACGCTCACTCGAGAGGACACAGGATCACTTCCTTCGGAAGAAAAAAAACCAGTGATTGAAGAAATGGGAAACCATCGGCCAACTTTCATGCAAAGCTTGTGGCTGGTTCCTCTATGAGCCGGTGATTTGTGTAAACAAATAGTCTTTCGTTTGCATACCACACATCCTGGCTGTATAACTCGATTAGTCAGTCAGCTGGGGATACCTTCCTAGGCGGTTTCCTGATGATGATGTGATATTAGGCCCACTAAAAGAATCCAAAATGTTTTTCCCCCCTACCTGGGCTTTTTAATGTCTGGAGAGAGGGCTGAATGATATGGCAGGCAATGGCAAGAGGGTGGCTAAAGAGTACTAGAAAGAAGTGTGCGTGGGGGAGGGGCAAGATTGAGGAGAGCAGTAAGAAAAAGCAGGCACTCTGGGCTGGGAGAGTTTCTGGGAGCTGCCAAGACTGAAGACAGAGTCTTCATTCTCAGGGCTTGGGAACAACACTAGCAACTGTAAAGACCAACCTTCCTTAAGCCCAAAGGTTTAGAGATTTCTGACAGTAGCTGGTGCTGACCCTCTGTTGTTGCTATGATGTTTTCATTAGCTACTGACCACTGGCGATTGGAACCCAGAGCATCAAACCTCTAACGCAGCGACCTAGAGCTATGTCTCTGGCTTCTAAAGCCTGGGGGTTTACCTTTCAAGTTCTCAGGACTTGGAGCCCCCTGAGTCTGTCAGCCCAGCTCATAAATCTTCAACACTCTAGGGGCCGCTATTAACACTAGAAGAGATCCTACTTGCCTACTTGAAGTTGTCACCTGAGGGGAACTAAAGGACCTGGCTAGATCTTTGTCACAAAAGTACAGCTCTTGAGACATTTAGTTTGGACTCAAAGGCCAGGCTTTGGTTCTCCTACCCTATTCATTTAGGCGATGAGATCTGCACCAGAATAGGACCTGTGGCAAAGTCTAGAATGACACCTGCTCCAGGCCACCAGGCTGTCCTTGCACCATGTATAAATGCCCCCCAGTTCTGGGAACAGCTCTTTCAAAAATTCCACTAAGGCCCAACAGGTCACGTCTATGCTTCCATGTCCCAAGGTCATCTCAAGGTCTGAGACATTGCTGGAGATCCTTCTTGGTCAATGTCAGAGTACTTCCAGGGTTATTGTGAAAAGCAATAAGCAAACACACTTTAAGACAGGAGAAAAATGCCAGAAGTCAGCATTCTTCTGACTTCAGAAGACATTCAGCAGACAGTCAGAAGTCTGCTGACTTCAGAGCAGCAACGCCCACAGAGTTAAGCGTGCCAGCAGCGTTCCTGAGGAGGAAGAGGCTAGGGAATCCGCAGGAGGGTCACCTGGGCGGACACTGAAGTCAGTTTACAGTGGGGGTCGCCAGCATCCGGAGTCACTCTGTCCCTCTCCC